AATACCTCAGGAAATGAGAGACTTTGTCGCCTTTTCTCGTTTTTTAATTTTTTTCCTGAATCCGATTTTTTTTTATACCTACATTTAAAAAAAAATTGCAAAATTTGCCGCCATGGGCCGCACCCCATGTGGCCACCCCCTTAATCCGGCTATGGAGGAATTGGATTGCATTTTGCAAAAAGGAACCACTAGCATTGCAATGATGCTAAGATTGTGCGACTTCATCTTTTGCAATAAAATTGCGGAAATCGTGAAAAACTATGAAATTTAGATGGTAATTTTGTCTTAAATTTACAGTTTTTAGCGAGTAAAATAGAAACTATCAATGGATAATCGGGTTTTTCCTCCAAGACAAAAGAAGTTGCACAATCTTAGCAACATAGCAATACTAGTGGTTCCTTTTTGCAAAATGCAATCCAATTATGCTGCGGCTTTAACGAGAGTTTTCTTTTATTATTATTTTTTTGAGTCGGTCGGTTTTTCAGCTAGTATGCTCAGGTCCTATGTATGTTTGCGTGCGCTTCATCCCTTTGAATTTGAATCGCATCCCTTGGATGGATTCTGAAGAAGATTTTCGGAAAAACGATCGGCAAAAAAAGAAAAACATGGACGTATTTCTGTCAAACCGAACTATGTGCATTGAAGCATGAGCCCTAAGACTCATACGCATATATGCATAACATGGCTCACGTTATAATGTACATTGTTTCGTTTGGCAAAAATACGTCCATATTAAATTAAGGAAAATTCTGAACACCTACAGTGTAAACTATTGGGGTGAGTACTCTTCCCTGGGGACTTCTATATTCTCACATGGTACGTGGCCATGCCGGGAGAGACAAGTAATGTGCTCTGGGCGACGGAGAAGGGTGACTTGCTGAATTGGCTGAAACACCGCCTAATTTAATTCACCTGTTTGCCTGACACCCAGCCCTGCCCTGGGGCAATGCTTCGTATAAAATATCGAGGATATCTTGAAATGGCGAAAACATCTTCTTCAAAGAGTTAAAATAAACACTTTCTTGGGTTATAGACCGTTTGACCCGAACCACAACTAACAATTGTAAACTTTCATCTTGGCATACCAAAAATTAATTTACCAATGTCAATTATTTGAAGATTTATCGACGCCGAAATTGAGAAACCGCAAAGCAGGGGTGAGGGACCCCAAAATGTCCGCTCACACACGTTTTTTGTAAGGATTCCTACTGAGCATCTCTCTTAAAAATTTACAGAGAAATGTCGAGAGAAAATGAATAATTTAAATATGCAGTTACATCATGTTATTCTGCATGAAAGCGTAGGGTCTATACCAAGCAATCCGTTCCTTTGCAAACGAAGATACCTATGCATCACTGATAAAAATCTGTGAAATACACTCCCCATTTTACCCCAGAGCTTATTTTGCTCCCCAACAACCGTAGGAATATGAGTATGTGCAGCGAAAGTAACCCTTTTTACGGAGTCTTTTAGTCCCTTTATTTCCACTCTTACGGAGCGAATTTCCTTTCTTACGCATATTTCTTTGGATTGGTGGGGGCGAAATAGGCTCCGTGGTGAAATTCATAATCGAACATTTCACAAGAACTTTCAGATTTATTCCTGGTGTTTTTCTGTTTTTTGTCATCCTTATGCCTGAGGAATTCATTGGTTAAATTAACTAAAACTTGCATTAAGCATGCAAAAAGCTGGTGCTATGAATGTTATTCGCATGATGTACTGATGCGTAACCATTCAAGCATCAATAACTTTTTTTGCAGTAGTCCCTTTTCTGCCTGTATAACCCACCTGTAACTCTAATTCAGAGCAGAGCAATTTCATTGTCGCTCCATCGATCTTCGACAAGATGTGACCTACATATCTTTCCCTGAAAAAATTCGCACTTTGTAAAGCTTGATTCGTAACGCTAGAGCCCTCTTATTCTTTTACGACGTATCGTAAGGTAAATACAGACTTCCATCTCCTAATACGTGCGTAACCTGATACTCGAACTCTTTTTGAGTCTTCAGGTTGTATTAACCGAAGTCACAGCCCTTCTGAACGAAATTTGGACTCTGATTTTTAAATAAATCCAGATATTCGTTCCCAAATATTAATTGAATGTTCAGAGTGCAATGGGGTCCCTCCATTTTAAAGTAGGCGAAAAAATAATTTTGAAACAGATGGACAACGGAGCAAATAGGGAAAATAGAGAGTATTTTCTTCTCAAGGCTGACTAGATTTACTACTATTTCTGGGGAGTTTCACTTTCTTTTTTATTCGTGCAAAAATTAACCATCCTTGACAATGTTATAAAATGTTTCAATAGATTTACACTCACATCGTTAAAAGAATAGTTCCAGACTTCAAACTTCTTTCATATTTTGGTACCGATTTTTAGCCACAAACCGACCTTTTAGAAATCCTACATATGCGTTTTTTAACTGCGCGAAATTCCGCTCTCTTTTGGCTCGGTTTTTTTATTAGCCGATCTGCCATTTTCTCCCCTCAGAAGGCTGTTATTTTTAAACCCAAAAGCGTTAAACCACGCCGCGTCTAAAAATAAATCTTCGGATCGATTATCCGTAGGTCCAGACCTCGATGGAGCCGATCACAAATGGAATCTGTTTCAAGACAGACTCTCGTCCTCGGGCAATGGACCAACTTCATTAAATTTGATGAATATTCCGTCCTCTTTAAACAAATCGCGGAGGAGCTCGTACATTTGGACGTGTTTATGCTAAAAGGAACTATGTGCATAGGGTTTGCTTGAGATATAGTTCCTTTTAGCATAAATATGTTCATTTAAGGGACGCTTCGAAGAGCTCGCGTCAGTGGCTCACACGAAAATTGTCTCTGATCAAATAAGAGCACCAGATTATCGTGCACTGGAAATCCGAACCTCAGCTGGTAGGCCCGTTGCGATATATGAGGACTTTTATGTAACATGGCGGATGTGAAAAAGTAACTTTTCGGAACATATTCAAAAAACTGTTTTCGCATCAAGAAAATTTTGAGAAAATACTTGAGATGTGATCTTCGAGATTTGTAAATTATGCCAGAGCCAAACATATTAAATTTTTGTGTGAACAAAACAGTTTTTTAAGCGTGTTTCGAAAAGGTAATTTTTCACATCCGCCATTGTTACATATTAGGCCTCATATAGTAATAGAGAAATATTAATATTATTTTTCAATGTAAATTCTATCAATCATGAAAAGTAAAGAAAGAAAAGTTTGCATTTTGAGCAACTGGGAAAGCGGCCAATGATGTAAAGTGCGCACACCCATTATTGTCATCGATTTTCTCAAAATGGCGTGGTTAATGGGAGAAAGTCTATAAAATTGTTTTAAATTATCTTTTCTGTTGAATCATCCCAAAGCAATAGAGATTACGGTCCTGTTTCTATATTTTGAATTATTATTTAATCCTATTGATTTCGCTTGTTAAGATAGGTTGTAATACTTCCTAGATATCAAATGTAAATGTAACCGGATCCGTGAAAAGGGACCTCATCATTCGGGAGAAAATTTTCCTTAGCTTATTTTTGCAAACTCACGTAAACCACGTTTTTCTCCAGAAACTCTCTTGAAACTCTTTGAAACTTCTGGACTAATATCTCCTCTGGTTTTTGAAATTTTAGGGTCGAAATTGCACCTAAGTTTCAAGATTTTTTTCCTCCGTGTATATTCAAAAAGTTAAGACAAATTTTCGTCTAGAATATAAGGTCCTTTTTCATACCGCAGATCCAGTCACGAATTATGAAATTATTCATAAATCAAAGAAAGAAAGAACGTGTACTTTTGTGATAGTAAAAATAGGTATCAAATAAAGTCAATCACCTTTTTACGGCATGAAGTTGTATTGTAGTCTCTTCAATATGTTACCTAGAGGAGCTAAAAATAACACCAACCCCATTATAATGAATCAAATGTTCATAAAAAGTTTTAACGCAGGCGCTCGTAGGAAATTTTCCAAACCACTTTCAATAAGGAGCAAATTCATGCCTTGTAAAAGAAAAGTTGGCCCTTCCGTTGAACACGACCCAATTTATAATCAAAATATATGACGCCCCCGCATGTCGCGCCGTGAACGAGGCTTCAGTGAAAGCAGAGGGGTGCAAGATCCGGGGTGAAAGTGTGACGTACCGAAATATCTGGTGCGAGGTAGTTAAATCTTAAGGGCTGTTATCTCTTCTCATTATGGCGATGGGATCAGCGAAGGGCTCTGACCCCGTAACCTCTCGCCTCTGGCTAAATGCTTATGACAGTGCCGTCGCCGATTTTGTCACCGGGGGTGTTCAACAATTCGTCACGTTATCAGCAAAAGGGCGTGAACATATTTTTAGAGGTGCCGTTTTAATGTATTCCACTGCTCACTTAAAACTCAAATTCAACGCCTTTTTGTAAGCCGCGACGACTTTTCACAGCTTAGTACGATGCTGCGAGCTATTGTTGAAATCGATAGACAAAGTGATAGACAAATAACACATGGGGGTGTGGAGCGATCCTATTGGTTGAAATGGTTGGTTCCTAGGCTAAAGGAGAAAATGATGGATAACTTTAGTGTCTATCGAGGGTTGTCTTTAGTTAGTCTATTATCTACCCACATTGTCCATTGCAACCATCCGCCTCCACCAATAGGATCCCTCCACATCCCTGTGTCCTCTTGGTCTAACGCTTTGTCTATAAATTTCAACAATCAGCCTGCAGCGCTGTTTTCATCACCATAATGGCGGATATTAAGTAGATTACATTGACCACCGTGTGAAAAGACGTATGTCTTCAGCAAAGTAATATCCTGCAGTTCTTGATTTAAGGTGCGTGGCACCGTCGATACAAGGTGCGATCAGGCCGCAAAATTAAGTCATGGAACTGTATATATCATTTTCATTTCATTTGTCCTATTTTTCTACATATATCCTCTTTGTATTTCTGGATACATTGTTCACAGCTTTTTTTCTTCATATCTTTTTCCTCCTTTTTTGTTGAAATCTTTCAAGAGTCAATTTTGTGTTCCAGGAGGACATCTCAGCATCATGAGGTCCTATCTGAACATCTGCATTCTCATTGCTATCTCTGTGATCCTTATCAATGCTGCCTCTGCTGAAGAAAAGGTGAGAATAACTTTTTAGTACTTAAAGCACGAACGTTTGGATGTGTAATGATCTAGAAATGAAATGAAGTTCTTTCTAAAATGAAGTTATGGTTGTTTTATTTTGTAAACGTATTGGAAAGGCGCATACGTGAAAGATATGAAAAAATTAAAATGAAACACATACAATTGGACAAAGTTTATCAGAAAGGAACAAACCCACATTTTTGAAAAAATTGAGTTCAGGATGTTTTCGAATTCCACTAGCCGCATATTTTCTCCTGCCAAAAATTGGAAGTTATAGGAAACAGGAATTAGAGTGTGAAAAGAGGAGTTAAAGTTTATTTTCTACATTGAGCCTTATGTAGGAATAAAACTTCAAACCTCTTTTTCTCAGTCTCAACTTAACGTGGGTTGGTTCCTTTCTGATAAACTCGTTCCAATTAAGATGCTTATTCTTGGATCAAAAACCCCGGAAGTTAGATGTTAAAGCTCTGAAGAAAACGCTGAGCGTTCAGGTTATGTCTATACCGGACACCGCTACCGCATGCCATTCAAATTCCTTGCTTTTTCAGTGCCTTTTCCTTATGCTTTTTCCGTACTTTTCTGAAAATACCTTTTAGCAATTCTCAAAAATTCTTTCTTTTTCCTTACCTCACACGCATTTTTAACTACATTCGAATTGGAAAAGTGGAATGACGAAAGAATACACCGAAAAACACGAGGAATCGAACCGGGACGTTGATAAATGGATTATGTTTAGAAATCGCATATGGCGAAGGCTAGAGTTTGTCATAAAAATTTCGAATTTCCGCACCTCTTTACCGAAAATCCGTACCTTTTCCATACTTCCGTGCTAACCCTCCAAAATCTGTGCTTTTTCGGTTCATCCGTACTTTTTCCGTATACAGTGGACACCCTGGTGTTGGTCTGAATTTTGTAGTATAGTTTTTTCCTATAGTTGGACATAATACTGAGGCATTGGCGGATCCAGCAATTTAGCAACACCGGATTTCCTCCATTTAAACCTATGAAAATGTATCGATTTTTGAAGGGGTCAGGTGCTCCGACAAGAATCGATTATTTGGCATAGGTTTAAATGGAGGAATTCGGTGTCGCCAAATTACTGGATCCGCCTATGTGAGGGTCAGAATCAAAGGACACGATGTTTTTGATTTCAGAAGAAAGAGCCGAAACGTAAGAAAGTCCGTCATCATCACCACAAGACGACGACAACAGAATCGCCGGCAGGAGGGGCTGCGCCGGCGGAGAAGGAAGATGTCTACGCCATGATGGTCGAGGATGAAAAAGCTGAGCTCGTCGAGAAAAAGTACGCCGAGCTTCACAGATCTCATTCTGAGATCACCCATAACGGCTTGGGAGAGATCTATATGAGTAAGTCCACCCTCCAGCCCAAACAAAATTCCATTTCACGGAAAAAAATGGATTGCTGCTTTAACAATTGGTCAGTTTCGCTGGTCACAGAATTTTGTTTTGATACTTGAATCTTGTAGATCAGCTAAAAGTAATAAGATCTGTCCAAACCACAACTTTCTACATTCAATATTAATCGAAATATCGACATTTGAAAATTCGGGTTTTTGACGTCATCCACCGCGGTTGTGACACCTTTGGTTTCTTCCACCTTGATTTTATCAGTCAGGGAGGCACATATTAGCACTGGTTACTCAACGTGAAATTTTGGATGAAAGCGAGGTGGAAGACACCAAGGGTGTCACTACCGCGGTTGATGACTCGGTTAATATTGAACGTAGAAGGTTGCGGTCTGGACAGATCTTAATATTTTTAGCTATAATTTACAAGAATCAAGTATCAAAACACGATTCTGTAACCAGCACAACGTACCCATTAAATTGTTAAAAAATATGTCCGACGTATTTCAAATGAACATTTTATAATAGTGGAAAGCTACGTAATTTAACCACGGGGGTGATACAAGGATAACTTTTAGCCGTAACTAACAAAGTTATATGGGTCAGCAACAAAAAACTTCATCGTTCAGCGGAAATGATAAGAACGAAATATAATATGGTCCAAAAAGTAGACCGACAAATAGGCGGCTGATACGTACAATTCTGTTCTAATCGCGATTCACGAGTGTCGCTTTGCTAACATCGAATTACAAAGGAGCTCAAATAATTCATCACATAGTGTCTTGATGGGCAAAAGCTCTTAAGGTGATTCGATGGACGCCATATTTTGTGTCAAAACGACATGAGATATATCGCATATATACATTGGTTCCATTTTTCCAGCTACTCGTCATTTTTCTCAAACTTTGAGATCGCCATTCTGTTGTCTGGAGACTAAAGAATTCACTTACCAATTTTGTCAAACAAATTCATCGTAATTTAGCAGTGGCGTGGCGTGAATTGCGATATATCGATTGTCATGTCATTTAAACTTATGGTAAAGAATCGATTATTAAGGTGTTCGCTGCGAACACCCTGTTTATCGATCATTTCCCACAGGTTTAAAAGGCATAACAATCGATGTATCGCAATTCACGCCACGCCACTGTAATTTAGGCGTGGTTTTTTTAGAGGGAAAATGTCGCATTCGAGTGCAGTTTCGATATCAATATCGAGTGCTATATTTTTCCTCTAAAAAAACCACGCCTTTATTTAGTTGAATTTTTTTGTCAAAATTGGTAAGTGAATTCTTTAGTCTCCTGACGACAGAATTGCGATCTCAAAATTCTAAAAAAATGACAAGTAGCTGAGAAAATGGAACTAAGCGATGCGATATATCATACGTCGTTTTGGTACAAAATATGGCGTCCATTGAATCAACTTAAAATGTTTTGGAAATTCGAGGCTTGTTTCGTCTAATAACGATTTTTGCCTCGCATGATTAGTTTCATACATAGTCGTCTCACCTATGTAAATCGCTACATATATGACTTCGGTAATTCACAACTGAGACGCCCCGCCATGTCTCCAATTCTGGCTGTATGCTGGTGAACTTGCTTACAAACGTGACTGTACCATCAGAGAAAAGTCATGAACACCATTGCCTCAACGAGCGAAAAAAAAAATGAGAAAAACTCCGTTTTTATAATCCGACGTGCGTTTTCTGTTCCAGATCCATGTGCGGGTAAACACTGCGGAGCAGGGCGAGTATGCCAAGTGACGGATGAAGGCGATGCTAAATGTGTATGCATTCCCGAGTGCCCTCGTGAAGTCGAAATCAGGAGGAAGGTAGATTTTCAAAGCGTCACTTCTTTCAGCTCAGCCTAAATTTCATTTTAATTCGCCGCCTTCATTAATCATGCCTTTTCCTGCCCTGACTTGTCTCTCGAACAAGGTTCATTTCATACGGCAGCAAACGAAAGGCTTGCGCAACTGAAGATTACTAACGCACGGGAACTCCGTTTGCTTTAAGTAACTGGAAAATAATCAGCCCCCCCCCCTCCCCATGTTCTCCCCCTGAGTGCGTCCTGCACCCACCTAACAGCATTGAAATCGTTGTAAGTTGAACAGGATTGCCGGTTTTGTAGGATAAATGTACCTACATATGCGGTAATCGAATTTGACAATTTACTGTGAAAAAAATGATCCTGTTTTTCCCGTGATTTCAATTAAAATCGTTCGAGAAATTCTTGTGAATTTTTCAGCAAATCTGTGCGTACCTTTAAAAAATATTGATTGAAATTGAAGCATTAACTGTGGTTTGCAACGTTGCAATCCAGGTAAATAAGCTCCTTCTCTCGTGGAACCATCGATATTTGAGTTCGTTTACGGCAGGCGTGACATACAACTATTTGACCACGGACGTAAGCATGTTGCAGCTCCGCCGGATTGAAGGCACTTCAAACTGCGAAGATGTCTTCACCGCCCTGCCGACCCTCGCTGGCGGGACGAACGCTAAAATCGCTGCGACACTTAGATGACGCGTCATTATTTATGACTCCCTTCTAATTTTCACCGTAACAAACAAAAAAACAATTCTAATAGCTACGACTAAGAATCAGGGACCATAGTTTTTTTTTTCGGAAGAAACAAATAAAAAGGAAACTAGGACTAACAATAATGTGGCGACAAAATTTCCCGTGATTTCAATTAAAATCGTTCGAGAAATTCTTGTAAATTTGTCAGCAAATCTGTGCGTAACTTTTAAAAAATATTCATTGAAATTAAAGCATTAACTGTGGTTTGCAACGTTGCAATCGAGGTAAATAAGCTCCTCTTCGCGTGTAACCATTGATATTTGAGTTCGTCTACGGCAGGCGTGACATACAACTATTTGACCACGGGTGTAAGCATGTTGCAGCTCCGCCGGATTGAAGGCGCGTCAAACTGCGAAGATCGCTTCACCGCCCTGCCGACCCTCGCTGGCGGGACGAACGCTAAAATCGCTGCGACACTTAGATGACGCGTCATTATTTATGACTCCCTTCTAATTTTCACCGTAACAAACAAAAAAACAATTCTTATAGCTACGATTTAGAATCAGGAACCGTGGTCTTTAATTCGGTAAAAACAAAAAAATGAAAATAGGACTAAAAATAATGTAGCGACGTTTGCCGCGACAGGAAACCACGTTGTATTAACCGAAAATCTCTTCACAGCGATACGACGTCTTTTTGAAATAACTGGAATATACCTATTGTTTAAAACCAGGAAATTTTCAATTGTATCTACGAAGAATCTTCGTCTTGACGTGTTTCATAGGAATTCCTATTGATCCATGAAGCTACGTGTAGTGTAACAAAAGAGAACCTCATTTCGCGGAGGATAAGAGCTTTTCTCGTTTGACTGGATACAAGCATTGATCAGGCAGGGTTATAAGCATTAAGCAATGGAATTAACCCTACTATAAATACAAGAATCGAACGTAAACTAATCTAAACTTAAACTTGACTACCTCCCCCCTTTAGTAGTTTTTCACGTAGAAAATAATGTAAGCGAGGAAGTCTGCAACGCGGCAAACCGAGATACGTGTTTCAGCAGTTTCGCCGTCGAACTGCAACTTTCTTTGCAATTAGTATCGAGTTTGTCCGGTAACTTAAGTTTCTTTGGATGAATTTTCTACTTTTTCCATCCATCTCCTTTCAGGTTTGCACCAACCACAATGAAACGTGGGGCTCAGACTGCGAGGTCTACAGAATGCGCTGCTGGTGTGACGAGGAATCTAAAAACTGCACCAACCCTGAGTTCAAACACGTTCACATTGAATATTACGGAGAATGTCGACAAATGCCGGTAAGGGCACTATTAGTAATTGATTCATCAAATAAAGCTGATTGTTTTATTGCATGTAGGGACATGCAAATATTTTAGTTCGCAGAAATTAATAATTCGAGTATGGATGTCCTTATTTTCTTGATTTAAGGGCATGAATTATTGGTGAAATTTTAAAAATAAATACGAGTATTTAAATTCTCATGGAACTTGTATTCTTACTTTATGAAGAAATTCAGGATCAATTCCTGCTGCACTTGTAAATTGACTTTAGTATGTTTTCGGCAACTTGTGCCAAAGTTAAAGGGGGGGGGATGATCGCAGTTTTCTTGAAACGATCGTTTCGTCTTCTTAAATTTTACATACATTTAAAAGAGGCTGAACAAGACTTGAAGATTTTCAATTTTCATCGAAGTCAGAAATTTGATCAGAAAGCCTAAAATGATTGCACTAAATTGGTGAACATATCAGTTATCTTAACTGACCATGTTGATTTTAATAGTGGGGAAAGTCTTGTGAATCTGATGACCATCAATACTTTGCTCCTTATGCTAACAATTATTCACTAGATTTTAACCAGAGCTTTGCTAGAAATCTTACAGAATATGTGAAATTTCGAAGTATCTTTTCAAAGAACCTCTTCATTTGAATCTGAAAATATCTGGCTTTTCCAGAATATCATATCATTTTTCCATAGTAGAATAATCTCTAACGTTTGTAACTTTCAAAATTTTTGCTTCACCAAGGTACAAAGTAGACTTGTAAATGTATCTCAAATAATGTTTACACATTTCTCAAAAATGGATTCAAGACATAAAATGTTTCTATGAGTAGGTTTGAGCTCGGAGCTCAAATCCGGAAGTCACTTTATTTCCCAAATTACTGCACCAACCGCGAAAAGCACGGCTTTTATAGAGTTATACAGCTTAAAAGTAAATATTTTAAGTTTAAGCCTTTCCTCGGAAAAGTTTTCAGACTAGCTCTTCAACGAAGATCTGAAACTCGATTAACTATTTTAAAGCATTCCTACCACCAGAGTGGCCTTAAAACCATATCTATATTGAAGTTATTTAGGAACGTTACCCGGGAACTGCCATAATTCAACTAGGTTCTTCATTAAGAAATGCGGTTTGATGATGCCACTGGTTGAGTGGGAAGATCCACCGACTCAGATTTGTGCCATGATAAATAATTGCGGCTTTTAGGCGTCCTCATTTATGACCCTCACATTATCGTTACCATGTATCCTTGCCGTACACCATGCTGACTGACACTGAAAGTGTTCTCATGTTTGCTCCAAATTGTAATTAGTTCACTTACTGCACCAAGGAGAGGGGACATGAAGTTGGATTTCCAAGTCAACTTACTGTGTGTATTTAGACTCCCGAGACCCAGCGAGGATCTTATTCTTTGGTTAAATTTATTTACTTTCCTAAGTCAAAAATTTGAACTAAATATTATCCTTACAAAAATGATTGAAAAATCCTGCCGATCATGTTCATCAAGCTGACTTATACTCTCGTAAAGTTGATTTCAATTTATAAAATTATGCTCATCATATTATAATCCAAGAAATAAAAATACTGAAATAATTTTGCAAGCAATGAAAAAAAAATTGAAATTTTGTATCCCTGAAATTGCAATAAATTGTCACCGCATTTGGTCAGTATTAAATGCCAATGGGTCTGTTGCAATTGGTTGCAACCTACTACTTCGGTAGCTGTATTCCTGAACTAACTGGACCATATTTTTCAATCAGGAACTATCATTTCTGACTCATCCGTAAAAACACTTATGAGGGGCTTAGAGGACAAGACGCATATAGGTACAGTTTTTGGGGGAAAAATTGAGCTTTTAATGATTTCAAGAAAAATAAGCCTTAATGCACATTCTGTGTAAAATTCGCTCCCGGATTCCGATTTATAAGCATCCAAAAGTCAGTTTAAACTTTCTTTCTTTCGTAAGAATCAATGCAATTTCGAAACTTGAAACACGTGCTTCTCAATTTCAAAAACTGTACGTATGCGCCTTGTCCGCTGAGCCCGTCATATGTCTGCAGGAAAACTAGTGGCACACACATTTTTTTAAAACGAGCAAGGAATTGTAGTTCCTAATTGAAAAAAGTAAGCCAATTGGACCACATTTTGCAATTTGGAACTATAATTCCTGGTTTAGTTTAGAAACAACGTATGCACCATTGGTTTCCCTATGCACATAAGTGTTTTTACAAAAGAGTCAGAAATTGTAGTTCCTAATTGCAAAAAGTAGGCCAATTAATGCTATGCTAGCTGCTAATTGGGGCTCTGTGATGTTACAGGAATGCACGAAGGATCAGATGGACGATTTTCCGAGGCGCATGCGCGACTGGCTGTACACGATCATGAGGGACTTGGCCGGGAGGGAAGAACTGAGCCCTCACTACATCGAGATGGAACGGGACGCCGAGACCAACATGACGCGCAAATGGAACAACGCCGCCATTTGGAAATGGTGTGACCTGGACTCCCATCCTCATGACAGGTACCTAAACCTCACTCCTGAAGATATTGTGTTTTAAGGTGGATCTCCAGCTTTTGCGCAGTGCATTCTGGGGATGTATGTATGTATTGGTCGTTTTTACGGCGCGCTAGGGCGCTCTGCGACTGGTTTCTCTTAGTTTAAGTCGTCAAATTTAGCGTCACACGACTGAAATTAGCGCTTCTGTAGATAAAAACTCCACAGGAGGAAAGCATGGCCGGATTCACCTACATGCCGCCCATGGGCCGCCTGTATTTTGCTGCCCCCTTCTCATTCGTTTTGAAACTCGAGAAAAACCATCAAATGAACGTGTCAGGGGTGCATAAGACGCATTTACGCATGTTGAACACATTTTTTGAGAAAGTCTTGTCAACACTACTAGCAAAAGTTCACGGAACTTTACGCGAAAGTTAATTTCCGTAAACCTATCTCTGTGTGGACATGGCCTTCCATTCATAAGAAATGAACGAAAAAATTATGAAAGAACAAACATAAATGTGGATCAATGATTTTAACTTCCGCCGCTGCGCCGCCGCGCAGACCGCACCGTGTTTGCCGTAATGCGTGAAGTATTCACGCAGTCTTGTAGGCGCTATGCGTTTGACGCTGACCAAACTGTGTTTGGCGCAATGCGTGAAGTATTCATGCATTCTTGTAGGCGCTATCCGTTTCACGCTGACCGCAATGTGTTTGATGCAATGCGTGAAGTATTCATGCAGTCTTGTAGGCGCTATGCGTTTGACGCTGACCGAACTGTGTTTGGCGCAATACGTGAAGTATTCATGCATTCTTGTAGGCGCTATCCGTTTCACGCTGACCGCAATGACCGCACTGTGTTTGATGCAATGCGTGAAGTATTCGTGCAGTCTTGTAGGCTCTAATATGTGTTAAAAGCCGATCGCCGCGCCGAGGGCTTCTCCTTTTTACCTCAAGTTCTCGTTATAATTTCTCTCTAAGTCCAGGCCAAATTGTGAGTTTGGTCTCTCTCTTAACTCGACTTATTGAAGGTGCTGTCTCTTGTACTATTAAGAGACGATAAAATTGAAAATTACTATACTCTCAGGAAATGAGAGATTTTGTCGCCTTTCCTCGTTTGTAATTTTGTTTTTATAAATTCCATTTTTTTTATACCTAAACTTAAAAAAATTGCAAATTTTTGCCGCCCCTTAGATTTGCCGCCATGGGCCACCCCCTTAATCCGGCCCTGGAGGAAAGTTGGCATCATTCTTTTACCTTCAAATAAATCCACTGAAAATATCGATTTTAGGTGAGACAAGTTGCCTCACTAAGAATCGATTGTTTTACATGCATTTAAATGGAGGAGAAACTTTCGGGAATCGCGGCTGCATGCATGTTGCTACATGTCGTTTATCAGAAGTTCGCCTTCAGCTTTGCTGCATAGGCAACATACCTATCGCGGAGCGCAATCTATTTGAAAAACACTAATCTCGCTTGGTAAACTTTGATAGAGTCAATAGACCCGAAGACCTCTCCACAGAGGTCGTCCATTCGAACGCAGCAGTAATACTCAGCCCCCCCCCCCCCCCCNTAAAGTAACTTACCAAGCCCTGCAAGATCAATCCACCTATCTTTTGAAAAATTCAACGTTTGGAATATCCAACTGTAAAATTGAAGGTGGAAAAATATATTTTTTTTTTTCATTTCCTTTCAAATGTGCACTGAGAAAAAGCTATGGCTTACACACTAATTGGACTACATTTTGCAATTAGGAACTATAAATTCCGGCCCGGTTCAAGAACAACGTATATGCCCTTAGTTTCCCTATGCATATAAGTGTTTTTTTCAGATGAGCCAGAACTTACAGGTCCAAATTGCAAAATGCAGTCCAATTAGTGGTCCATAAGGTATACCACTACCTAACGGTGGTAAAGGCAACTTATAATAATATCGTCGGTGAAACTACCAAACCACGTATCTCGGTTTGCGACGTCGCAGACTTCCTGTCATACTTTATTTTTTAAATGAAAAACTACTTAACATCCAGTCTTGAAAATTTCTGTGATTTTTCCTCTTTGTGCGGAGAAAATTCTGTGAAAATTTCAAGGAATGATATTGATTTGGTCTACTTCAAAAAAATAAAATGCGAGCGTAGATTTTTAAACACAGCAAACGAGATACGTGGTTTGGTAGTTTCACCGTCGATATGCGTAAGTTATGATATATGGTACCGTAGTATGGTACGAGTTACCTCAGTATGGTTCACAGACCGATAATAATTAGTTCATTTACGACTATTAGGGGTATTCCATTTGAACCTTTAATTGGTTTATAAAGCCATAGATTTTTCTCAGTGAGATATGGCAAACGGATATCGTTTTTTTTCTGTCACCTTTAGCGGCGTATCCCGTCACGAGCTATTCCCGATCAAAGCTCCTCTGATGGCCCTGGAGCATTGCATCGCACCATTTTTGAACAAATGCGACGCTGACGATAATCATCTGATCACGCTGGCAGAATGGGGAAAATGTTTGGAGTTGGATCCTGTAAGTAACCTCTTAGAGCATATCGACAGTGTAAGTCGGCAATTAATCACATAACTCGGTTTGCGACGTCGCAGACTTCCTGTTAGACTTTATTTTTTAAACGGAAAACTACTCAACTGCAATTCTTTAAAACTTCAGTGATTTTTCTTCTCTGTGTGAAGAAAATTCTGCAAAAACTTCAAGGAATGATGTCAATTCGTTCTCCTTTAAAAAATAACATAGAGGCGGAGATTTTTAGACACCGCAAACGAGTTATGTGATTGCCGACTTACACTGTCGATATGTCAAGCGCAAGTATAGAGTGAATAAATCTTATATCTTACACAATCAGAAATTTCGGGATGAAAGGAGTGTATTTCACCCCGGAGCCTATTTTACTCCGAAAAGCTCGAGCCATGTGAATTAAACACCGGAAAAAAGTGAAGTTGATTTAAGATTCTAGATGTAAAGAAATTGTGCGAGAACTTATAAGATACTGAATTATCCGCTGTAGCAGTTACTTTAGCAATGTCAAGATGTCAAACTAACTGCTGTGGCGGGTAATTTAGCATTTTATAAGTTCTTGCACACTTTTATTACATCGGGAATGTTAAATCAAAGTAACTTTTTTCTCGGTGAAGTGTAATTCGCTACAATGGGACACATGTACGATTTAGAAGTAGTGGTGAGATGAGACTTTGATTTTTAATGGCGAATTCTGCTGAAAATAAATAAAAATAAAAATAAGGTTTAAAAATAAATTGATAAAATAGATTAGCAGATCTTTTGAAGTACGCTGATAGAGAGACATTCTTCATGTCGGTCGTGGATTCTCACAAAAATTTAAGGCGCCAAGACTAGACTTTTGAAGTAAAACAAAATTTAAAAATTACAATGATTTTGATGATTTATGAAGATAGGTATACCGAGCCCAAAAAGTGACTGTGGGAGAGGATGATCGTCTTAATGGAACACTAGACAGGGTACGAATTTAAGCAATCTGATACATGTTTATTAACCAGAATTTCATGTAGAACACGATTCGCACAACGAAAATTACTGAAACCAACTCCTAACGAAGATATTAACGTTTTTATTTCACATTGGTTACGATGAATTTTAACTGCCCGCTCACTAGAAACTCAAAGCTCTACGTGAGTCAAAGCGCGCACTACAACGGTTTCAGCAAGCTTCTAACTCGAGCAATGTTCATTTCCCACCATGTGTTGTTCAAACTATTAGCAATTTGCTACAGCTGATCCAACGCGTCAAGATTGAGGTTGCCAGATTTTTATATCGCAGAGACAGCCATGATAAACGTTTAGCGCGCGATGTGAATCACGTAGAGCATTGAGTTTTCATGAGCGTGTGGTTTGAATTCACGCATCAAGAATCATTAAATATCTTCGTAAGGAGTTGATCTCGGCAATTTTTGTTGTGCACATCATGTTCTGCGTTCAATTTTGGTTACAAAACATGTATCAGAATGCTGAAATTCGTACCTTGTCTAGTGGTCAATTCTTCGCAAGCATTCCAAACTTCTTCGGTTTCTTTTATAATATCCGAAGGCCCTTTTGAGTCTGTATGCATATTTTTGCATATTTTTTAGCTATTATATATTTTTCTGATTTTTCCGATTTGAAGTCGAGATTCAATTTCAAAAATATGACAGTAACAAAATCTACTTAACTTTACAGGATGAGCTGGAGGATCGGTGCGAAGAAGTCCGAGGAGACGACGAGTGAAGATTTTTTTTTTTTTTTATTTTTTGACTGTGCCAAAAATGTGAAATAAACAGGATTTTTCTTGAATGGATGCATTTAAAAATGCATTTAAAAATTACTCAGTTTTTTTGTCTTTGAAAAATTTAGGCTTCAGATAAAATTATATTTTAATTTTTGTTTGTGTTTAGTTTATGGTTCAAATAAAGTATTGCAGTTTGAATACAACTTAGTAGTTATAACTACTGAGATCCAAAAATAATCATTTCTGACACAAAATGGTCTGATTTTTCCCCTTTTTTATCGTAAGATCTACTTCCTAAATTGGGCGGATGAAATGTTATTTTTTCTCATTTCATCTGCGACTTAAGTATTCTAGTCAAACATAACACTAAAGTCAAACAATACAACACCGTTATGATTTTAACAACAAACTGAGGGTCTAATTGGTAAGTGCAGCACTGCCATCCTTAAGATTTCATTTTATGGATGAAAGTGTAATGAATATTCTGAGTGAAAATTCTCTATAAGTTGTGGAACTATGTCTTGTAATGAAAAATTGACTGGTTAGTAATATCGAATCGTAAAAATTTAATAAAAAAAACAAAATAAAATTAAACCGTCAGACCTGTGTCCTCATGAAAATTGTCAATGTGTGTGTGTATAATAGGTCTTCAAATAAAGGAAATTCCCGAAAAACCCGAGATTATTCAAAGATATTTGTTCCTAAAATAAGCTTGTAAACATAGTTGACATGTCTTATGTATACACATTGCCTTACTCTTTTTGTATAAATTCGTTTTTTACTAGGCTTTGCCCTCAAAGTTTGTACTTTTTTTTTTCAATTCCTCTCTAAATCTTCAGATCCTTCACTGACACGATGCTCCCATTGTCCAGTAAAATAATAGACCGAAGCGCCTTCATTTTAGAGGAATGCAACTATTAAAACGCAATACCAGCTCAATATTGCTCTACTCTCGTTGAGCAAATAATAATCTCAGTGAACTAAAGAATTCATGAATCATTTGGAATGATGGGAGGTTCACCGTCAGGACATTCACACCAGCAAAATATCTTTAGGGGTACACAAGAGACACACGCCGGGAATGAAAATAGACAAACGTACCTCTGTCCATGTAATTGTATTGGGAATTTCTTCTGTTGATTTAACATCCTGGAAGTTGAAAAAGTGCAGAGAACTCCCGACTTGCTAAATTCACCTTTTCAGCAGTTATAGGTACCTACTTCAGCATCTAGATGATAATAATTCGGGAGATTCTGAACATACCTACTTGTAACGATGCTAGATGAACGTAACTTGAATACCGTGTGTAAACTCTCTCTAAAATGATGATAATTGTATTTTTCAATATAAATAAGGGTTTCAAAGTTTGCTACACTGCATGTGTATAAATTTCACACTGTATCCTTGCAAAAAATTTCCAGCAAGAATGGTGATTACTTTTCCACTGGAAACTTGATACTTGGAGAATAACGCATCGTTTTCTACAATGAAGAACGTAATGCACATTAAGGTTGCAAAATTGATCATAAAATCCCAAGGAGACAGATTTTTTACAGGAATCTGACTGTGCAACCTTGCTGTAGCCAATATTTTGCTGGATGTTTGCGTGTAATCAGGGAAAAAGCCAATAAAATTTTTTAATAAAAACGCCCACCGTTCTCTCGTAAAGATAAAATTTGCGAGTGATAATTTGGCTATTGATTGAAATGTTTTTACAATTTTCCGTCTGGAAAAACAGCGAATTTCTTAACATACAAATTTTAAAGCGTTATTCTCAGTTCACGGCCGATTAATGGTATTTTCTGAATGAAAAACGATACAATTATTCCAGCGGGAACTTATATGTATGAGAAAATCGATCCACCGTCGTGGTAAGAGGATACGTTGCTTAAAAACTGTCTGATAAGAATGAATGATGGAAAATTGAGAGAGTTTAATAGTTTTCTTAATTACATGCCTTCATATTCCAACATATAATCATGAAAGTTGTGCATGACTTGCTGTTAAAAGTTTCTACATATTTCATCAAAACTGCTCAGCATGAAGTGTCTTCGTTTCAACAACATTGTGCAAAGTCATTCAGCTTTTGCGTTTGAATCTCACCCGCGGTTGGCCTAAAATGCTTTGAAATATTTCTCAATAAGACCAGATATAACCTTTCAAAAATTTGCACATCATCACTGCCATCAGTGCCATCGTGATAATTTTTTTTATCTGAGAATAAGGGAAAAAGTTCTTGAGATATTTTTTCTTCGCCTGTAACGGCAAGAAATGGTTGTTTTAACGAGAGCATTTCTTCTTAGATAATGAAATTTAATCACGGGTTGTTGGTTATGTCAAAGGCAATTTTCCTCGTGATAACCATTTATTTTTCTCGCGCGTGTATTTTATGGAGAAAAGTCGAGAATTAATGCAGTTGACGATTTTTTCTCAAGGAATTTCTTTCAGGTGAGACGTCGCACATTGGATCGAGTCAATTGGAGAGTTCGGACATGATTTAAAAACTTTAAAAGTTTATGTCTTCAAGAATATGGAATTTTGACGTTTTGAACGAAGTTTCATTGGTTTTTTTCGTAAAAATTTCTATAATAAGTACCCCTTAAAATTGAAATTGTGACGAAATAAACGTAAAATTTTACAATTTTATCAAAAATTTCATGTCCAACTTATTCCAAAGATTCGTTCTACTGCGCGTCGGAGGAACCTTAGCGGCACCTGATGACGCTCACACGTTTTCAATTTCCACTCTTTAATTACAGCCATCAACTGATGATGCACGAGGTACATTCAACTGTTTATTTTTCCCGTGGAGCAGGCCTATTTACTAAGCAGCGTAAATTTGATAGTAAAACCTGTTTTAATTTATTTTTTTTTTTTTCACAAATATCAGAGGAGCCATACCGGTCTCATTCTTCCTCTCTTCGTGTGCTCTCATGATCCAGATCACGGTCATGCTTGAATCATCTTCTTAGTCGGCAGTTGTGACCCAGAAATAATTGACTCCAATCGGTTTACCCATTTGATTCTCTTTCGCCATCACTCTCGGTTCAAAAAATTCTCGTTCATCCATGTCGCCACTAGAAGGAAGGAAATAAACATGAAAGTGACGCGCGTTCAAAGACGCTGAAGCTCAGAATGCGAACGCAAGGGGTATTCTCAGGCGGCCAATCAAAAAGTTGGAGACTCATCAGCTCGAATATAAAAAATGCGCTATGTTAGTATTTGTAAACAATTTGGGAGAAGTTTTCGCTTTCCAGCTCACTGAATATTCATAACACACTGAAAAAACACACATTGGATCTAGAGTCCAGACTCTTAAAAACATCGACAAGAAAAATACTCTTGATTCAGTCAGAATCTAGCTTAAATCAAGAATCAAGCCTCTTAATTTAAGCGGATTTCGTTTTGATTCAAGCAAAAATCCGATTGAATCAAGAGTATTTTTTCTTGTCAATATTTTCAAGAGTCTGGACCCTAGATCTAATGTGTTTTTTTTTTTTTTTTGCAGTGCAATTGAATGTTTTCTGGCGATAGATTCGCTGATTCTTCAACGGGATCAGGTAAGAGGCCGTATTTTGATTCGAGATATCTGCAGGTATGCGTATGCTTGACCTTTACTGACATTTGGATCACATTTAGCATTTACACGATCTTTTTAAAATTTTGCAACTACCTCTTTTCTTTTGAAAAAAACTTAATATATGAACAGTACTACAGTATTAAAATGTACACGATTATTTTCCTTTAAAATTGACAATTTTTTGAAGGGAGGCAAAAAATGAATTTGCCATTCTAGAAGATTTGTCAGAAAATAACGAGGAAGCAACATTTTTACAACATTCTAATCGCGTCGGTTCCTTTAAATTGAATGCGACCCATTTGAAAGTCAATGATTGAGAAAAAAAGGTGAAGTAAAAGCGATTTTTTCACCAAATTTGGAGCCTGTTTATCACTTTTACTCCTATGTGAAATCATAAGAAGCTTACTCACTCTTCTGTCATGACGTCCCCTACGTAATATAACTCCGCATCTTGATTTTGCCTGTACAATATGAAAACTATGCGATGTTTTCCTGCTTGGACAGAGAAATTAGAATCATTTAGGAATCTCAAGGAAAATATGTTTTCAGAATATCATGATTATCATGGCCACCATTTTGCTTGCAATTTATCCAATAAAACGTTTGCTTCGTAATTTTTCTCTGATTTGAGAATAAAAACAAATAATTTTAAAATATATTTACTTTACGAGATATTTTGTTTCCTCATTATCTGAAGCGAAAAATGTCATCAACCGTCATATAGGGGAACTCAGGTAAAATTGAGACATTGCCTTCACTTTGCACTCACTAAATTTCACATCAAAATTCAGCAAAATTAAAATTAATTAATGTATAAAAAATTAAAAAGCCAATCGTTTCAATAATATATGACGACAATTTGACTCTGAAGACGAGCGTAGCTTACCAGGTCCATAATTAGGTTTGACAATACCAACATATTCCACTCTGGTTTCGCCCCCAACCGTATTATCGTTTTGAATGTTTCCTACGTGCCAATGCAAGAAACTTCGATATTTTGGTGCTTTAAGCAATGTTGGCACATCAGGACCTGAGGGATCGAAGAACATAAAAATCAAATCAATGATTATCAATAATTATCGCGTGCCAATGACTTATTTTCAGAGTTTAGATGGTTTCGTCAATGATTGACGGAATACCGCGATCAAATCCAACATTACAAGACCAACTCGATTTTGAGACAATTCAGTAAGAAAAGGGATTATCAGGGGTGAAGCGTGAATGATCGATTATCGATATTCCCCATTTAAAGCTATGACAAAAGAGCCATTCAAAGATCGATTATTAAGATACTCGTTGCGAACACCCTGTTTATCGATCCTTTTCCATGGGTTTCAATGGCAGATCAATCGATTTATCGCAAAGTACACCGCGCCACAAAGGGTGAGCCTTTGTATAATATAGGGGTTAAAAAACATGTTGTTTAATCAGTCGTCGAACCAGGAGCTTGTCATGCCATTTGAGAATAAATAGTGAGAGAACTATATTTTACCTACGCACACGAGAGTGTACATGCCGAATGGACTTGGACTTGGCCATCCAACATACGGTTTTTCAGTCATGGCCGCTTCAGGAATCTCGTTTCCGAAGTCAACCGTATAGCTGATATTGTCGTGCACGTAGTGTACCTGTCATCAGAAAAAACTCTCATAATCTAATTAGCATAAGTTGCAATATACATTGCAATTAAAAGGTGAAATAATATCTCCTGCATCAGCTTGTAGTGTATGTTGCATATCTATTATTTGAAGGGGCTCCTCTTCTTGAAAATTATTGAAATAAACCTTAAGTTAGTTTGCGACTAAATATAATAAAAGTAAAAAGGGGCTTGGCAACGGTGCAATGCAGTTACGTTTCTTTGTGGGGAAAATGACGGTATTTTATATATTCAAAAGGAAACAAATGATTTCTTTGCATTTTTTCTGGTTTTTTTTTTTTTCATCCTACGCAGGGAACACTGTACAAAGTCGGAGCATTACCTCTCAGTCGTTTTTTATCTCCACTTATAATGATAGAAAAATAGCTGAACATTTACTAAAATAGCAATTGGGATACACGTTTCTCGATTTTTACCATCGAAATGCAAAAACGTGTTTTTGGAGTGAAGCCATCGATTTAGGATTTAAACCGAGAGGTTGGCACTGTCAGGGTTTTATATTGAAAGTGTTGAAGTCGGGGACCTCGCATGAGAGCAAATATAAGGAAGTGCAAATACCTCTAAAGGAAAAATGGTTTGGTTCGACATAAGTTCGTGCACCACATCATCTTTGTTCAATCTCTCGAGCATATCACTTAGAGTCCTGTTCCACGAAGGATTTGAGCCATTTTTTGAAAACACTGACCATTGACTATACACTAACCTAATTTTAAACATTAATAAGAATAACAAAAAATGAATACTGTCGTCCGCACTAAAGTTTAATCCTATCTTACACTTTAGGAAAAACATTTTGAACCTTTGTTTACTACAGATATAACATTTCACAATTCCCCTCCAAAGCGATGTCTCCAGATTTGTTTTCTCTTTTCGTTTGTTTCTTAGTCAATGCCTAGCCGTCTCCGTAAATTAAGATTCACTATCACAATACCAGCTCTCTGATCAACTCAGTCGCTGCATCATGCACTTGCCACTGATTTGTGATTTGATTACAGTAATGCTTTTTCTACTGTTTTTTTTTTTTCTTTTTTTTTCTTCACAGTTGGTTTAACCTTCATTTTTGACTGGCTCAGAGAAGGACTATATTTAAATTAAATCGAATGAAAATCAAAGATGAAAATAAGTCGGACGCAGATGGAAATAGACGGATAAAATCAAGTACGATGCATTAAACACGAAACGTTGACAATAGAGAGATCCTTTAAAAATGAATTCAACCCAAATCTTTACTCATAAATTTGCACTCGTAAAAATGGAGGCCTAAATTAAGATACCTCTCATAGTTTAAAGTTGAGGAATCCTTTAAGTTCCCCTAAGCTCAAAGCATGCTACAAGGGGTAGGTGAAAATAAATTACCGTTTTCAAAAAATGTGAAAGGAATTTTAGAGGTCCTTAAACACAATGTAAAAAGAGAGCATGGGAAATGACGGCGCAGAGATACGACTATTCATGCTTGATGGATGTCTCTGCTGTATCTGCAAAATTGAAGGCGCGATGGCGCGAGGCGAGCAGACTTGATGCTCGCGGCCACAGGATTATCTATGGCTCCCACGGGAGAACGAGCCAATGGGCGAACTCGGGCATGAAATTTGCAACTAAAACTGACAAATTTCCATGTTTGTTTCGTCTGAAGGACCAGTGGATGAGGTGCAATGAGAGAAAATTTAATTTTGGAAAGTTAACAGGAAGCAGGAAAATCTCCACGATCCTTCGAGGATTGCAGGCTCGCGTTGTACATACACTGGTTGGGTTTGGTGTCCACAGCAGTGTGGGTGGTGGGTCTGACACCGTAAAGTTACAACGATTAGAGTGCGCACCGTGCTCTGCGCGCTATGCGTAAAGTATGCCTACAGTCTTGTAAGCGCTAATATGCGGCTCACGCCAACTACTGACCGACTGCACTGCGTTTGACGCAATGCGTTGTATTCATGCAGTCTGGTAGGCGCTAATGTGCGCGTCGCGCCGATCACACTGTTTGGCGCAATGCGTGAAGTATTCATCCAGTCGTGCAGGCGCTGATATGTGTTTAGTGCCGGCCGCACTGTGTTCTGCGCGATTATTCGAATTCATGTTTGAATGGATCACTAGACAAGGTACGAATTGTAGCATTCTGATACATGTTTCTTAACCAAAATTTTACGTAAAACACGATGCGCACCACGAAAATTACCGAAATTAATTCCTTACGAAGATATTTAATGATTCTTGATGCGTAAATTCAAACCAACGCTTATGAAAACTCAATGTTCTACGTAATTCACATCGCGTGCTAAACGTTATCATGACAGTATCTGCGATTTAAAAATTTGTCAACCTCAATTTTGACGCTTTGGCTCAGCTATAGCAAATTGCTTATAGTTTAAACAACACATGGTGGGAAATGAACATTGCTCATTTGAGAAAATTGCTGAAACCGTTGTAGTGCGCGATTTGACTCACGTAGAGCTTTGAGTTTCTTGTGAGCGGGCAGTTCAAATTCCTCGTAACCAATGTGAAATAAAAATGTTAATATCTTCGTTAGGAGTTGGTTTCATTAGTTTTCGTTGTGCGAATCGTGTTCTACGTGAAATTCTGGTTAAGAAACATGTATCAGATTGCTTAAATTCGCACCTTGTCTAGTGGTCCATTATCGCGGTGTCGAATACTGGGGCTTATAAGGCACATGTTGCGTTTTGACGCCATGTGAGCATTCCAACGTTGCCTCGTTTTTCCCGATAACGAGAAAAGTAAGGAAAGTTCTTTAAGTTCGCTTTTTTAAATTAAATGACCATTAAACAAGGTACAATTTTAAGCACTCTGATACATGATTCTTCATCAGAATTTCTCGAAGATCACGATTCGCGCATAGAAAATTACTGAAATAAACTCCCAGCTAAGATATTGACGTTTTTATGGTTGCTTTCGAGCCGAATAAATTCTATGTACTACCATTTCACAGTGCATGTTACCGCTTTTTCCTTTTTTTCTACGTATATCATCGACCCGCCAAATATTTAAATTATTTTTAAGTTAAAAAACTCACTCTGTCAGCTAACTCACTAACTACGAGTTTTCAAGTACCAAACTCTGCCGACAGGTAGCATTATCCTCCCTTTCCGTCCATACGTGTAAAGATTGTTTACATTCATAATTAGGGTTATGTTTTTTCTCCGCTCAAAGTTTGGACTTTTTCGGCAAATTGTTCCGTGAATTTGTCTATTCTTATCACTAATTTATTTTACCCGAAGTGTTTATCATTCTAGTCCACGTCTCTTTGCCCTTCTAAATAATGAGTGAAACACTTTTGTTCCTCTTTTCCTTAATAGACACAGGAGCAATTCTGTTCCTACTTGTTTACTTTGTATCCTTTTTTCTCACTACCGTTTATTTTCACACATTATTTTCAAGTATTATCGTTCTTATTACATTCATTAGTATTTGCATGCATTATATGTACTAATTTTAGAGAGCTCTTATTAGTTGCTTTTAATAGTGCACAGACCTAATGCAAGCATTGCGCAGATTATGCAACGAGCACTGTCATGATGAATCATAGGAGTATCAGTATTGATGAGACCAGGTTACTGGTCAGTAAAAACATGCAAAGTCCTTACAACTGATGCAAAATAATGGGAACTTTGCAGCACTCAAGTCAATTTTCAAGTGTTGTTGCTTTTCAGCCAGATAATAATTTAAATTACCTATTGGCTCCCAACTGGATGAGATAATCAGTACCTATACTTTGCTCGCTTCTTAATTCCATGGAAGAAGAAAAATTAACAGTATTGATGCCTTAGTGTCAGCAAAGTAGAAACTTTCGTTATTTGTATCTGCTCCAATAATTTTTTCCAAAGCTCTATCTAATTTTTAAACTGTAGGTATGCTCTAGTAAATTCAGAAGAAATTATTTGCTGTCTTTTATTTTATCACAAGAATTTTCAAGGACCATAGACCGTAGACACTAGAAAATTTCTGCCACTATCCTGGAGGCCAATTAAAGGGATGTAGCATACTACTAACATGGTCTGCAAGAAGGAGCGACGTACCATCCTTGATCCACCGTCAATAAGCTCTTCAGCTTGGTGATAATTGTTATCTGCCAGTGATGTCCAATGAGCTGTGTAGGCTTTCTTGTCCCTAGAATTAGGATCTGCCCATCATCAGAGAAATTGAAGTCAATTTTGGTGGATTTAGGCCGACAAGTGTCTGCCATGGGCGAAACAAAAGACAGTTGCTTCATTGCATGAAATAAAATAATTTATACACCATACGTAAAATGTATTTTCAAGAAAGTAAGTCTTCAGGAATGGAAGTTGTAGGTAGAGTATTAACTATTTTGACTCGGCCAACGAAAGGCAAAGTCAGAGCTTTTTTTACTGTGGCTCCTTAAATTCATCCAGAAGTTTTGACTCGCCAACTGCTTCAAATAGAATCATCATGTATAAGTTTTTAATTTTTCTCCTTAATTCAATCATCTCAGGTCATAACTTTATCAGACTTAGAATCTGACTACCTAAATGCCCAACAATGCTGTGCACAGTTAAATATTGTAAGTATAATCAGTTCTCCGGTTTTTTTAGTCTTTCTGTAAATGGTGGATTTTTTTCTTCTTCAAAATTGACGTACGGCAAATCTTTAGTCTACCCATCATATAGTTTTTACCCTCATTCTTTTTTTCTTTTTCTATGTAAGTTGGTTTGTAGAATTTAAAAAAAAAACAAAATTCAGCTCTCTAAAACACAATTGCATCGCTTTGAAAATTGTTTAAATGGCTAACATGTCAACTCTAAACCATGTGCCCAACCTGAACTATAGAGAGGAAAACTGAGTGAAATTTATGTCGAAAGTAAGCAGTCCTTGTCTTAACTAGAATACCTATTGATTTTTTTCTCTATGATTCTCATGTTTCAGTGGGTGATACCAAAGTTAGCAGCTCATGTGGTGATCTTCGTGTTATTCATCTTGTTCCAATGTTGGTGGCTGGCGTTAGCAAACATTCCGGTTTTAGCATGGATTTCTTATGAGTAAGTTCTTACTCTGCTAACGCATACCTACTCAAAGACAGTAAAGGGAACAGCAAAAGTAGAAGAAGAAAAAAAATACAGTTAGAGGTGTCATCAGATAAGTTGACATTTGTTTACTCTTGATTTTCAGGCGCAAGCAACAAATTTACGCCTCTGCACAAAGCGTCATTTGACACTATCCACTTTGGAAACATCTGTCTCATAATCGTATCATAATGAAAACTCAGTTATGATCGGCGACTTTAATATGGTTGTGACTAAAAATTAAAGTGTTACAAGGTTTGAAATATTAAAATACCTATCCAAGCTTGTGTTCTCGCTCCTGCGAGAGTCGGATGTTTTCATGTGGATAGTAGTGATGCGAAAACGCCTGCAAATTAAAAGTGAACAAATGACAACTTAGCTGATGACTTTTGAAAGAGTATTTCTCCAAAGTGGGAGCATTATTTAAAGTTTCAAAGCAAATAATATTAAAAGTCCGGAGAAGTCTCAGGTCTGCATGAAATGTTTGATCACTTGGAACTTTTTGCAGCCCTGCCTGCTGTATGGCTCAACACAGTTATAATGAAGCATTACTGCCAGAAGTGCATGGTGCCTGATACCTGTCTCTTCTTATTGAAGCTTTATTTCTTGCCCTTTTTTTGCCCAACGGGTGAAAGTAAATATACTTATCTCAAGAAGGACATATCTAGGTGTCAGGTAATTTTAGATGGATACTTTCAGAAGTTATCAGTTCGAATGCAGACTCCAAATTTTACTCGTTAACTAAACCCTGTAAATTTAATTTTTTCATTTTTAGGTTTTACTCCGTTCCTCCCGGTAATACCGGTGTTTATGACCCAACTGAGATTCACAACCATGGACAGCTTAGAAAATATATGCGAGACTGCCTGATATCAATAGGATGGTATTTAATTGCTTTCTTCTGTTATTTATACTGGTAAGTGTCAATCAGAGTTTGAATAATTGTGCTTAAGATTTTTTATTCCACAGAGAAAAAAAGGAGGTGTTTGCATTTCGGGCATCTTGGAAATTTTTTGATGACGCAGGTCGGCACAGCGACTTTTGTCATTGATTTTCTTGGAAATGGTGTAATTTATGGAAAAATGTCATTCTATAAAAAGTGCTTGAAATATCATGAGTTGATTTAAGCAAAAAAATGAGATATTATGGTCCGTTTTTCATACTTTGAATTCCGGATTTTGCTGGCCAGGTTGTACCAACCCAAGTCACAGGGCAAATAAACCTCAAGATGCAAACACCTCCTTTTTTTTCCCTATGGTTTTATTCCTTCAAGTGAAACATACAATCCACTAAAAGGTACGCTCAAATTAAGAAGGTGCAGTAATCGGTCTTGATCATTGGAATTTGAATGTAGATAATTCGTCGGCAACTTGAGTTCAATTTTTACCATTTTTTGTCTAAAATTTGATGGATGGTTTCATTGTCATTTATCACTCATGATCAGTCCTCACCACTCAACCCTTTCAATGCCCAGATTTAAGTTACTGGTCCCCTGGTTTGCGCACCCTCTAAACCATGGACAAGTCAATTCATTTTACTCTATATTTTTGCTCTGGAGGGCTACCATATTGATGAAATTTTGTACTTGTAATACCTACTTGTAGACTTTCCATTGGTGAGGATATGAATTGCAGCCTTGTACACTAAGATTTTGGAAAAAATAAGTGCATTGCTTTTACCCAACAAGGGTCATTCCACGCCTAGGTAGTCCGGGGGGTATATTTTTTCCCCCCTCCAAATGACCCAACAATATTTATTTTTGGACTCCTTAATACTCCTAGTTTTTGGAAATATATGGGGTTTACATCCGTTTTATTGTTTTTTTTCTCGCAATTTTCACGTGTTTTGTAACCCCATTGGTTAGCTTCATCCTACTGTAAAAAGAGTGACAGTTTGGTAGCAATATTTTCTGGTGTTCCCGCCAAAACCAAGTTTCAGCTTATGTTTGCAGTTGTCAAGAAACTGATTCAATGTGCTCCTGCAAAGTTTCAATTTTTAAAAGTAATTACTGTGTATTATATGTAACTTTTAAAACTTAGTGTACTGACTGTCACACCCGTTACGCAAAACGTGGGTTTTTTAATGTAACTATTTTAATTCATGTTATTTTGAGATGCTAATTTTTTCCGTACGTCTTCAAGTCAAGTACAGCTTTGGAGTATTTTTTCCAAATTTTTAATTCAACAATTGATAGGCAAAACTGCGTAACGGGTGTGACACGTTACGGGTGTGACCAATGAGAAGAGGCTTCAATTATGTTGATGTTGCCTCACTTCTCACCATTTTTTCTATGGTTATCACAAGAAATACACTCATATGCACAATTAGAGGTATGTATACATCTAATAAGAGAGAGATCGCCAACTTTTTTGCCATATTTCAGTATTTAAAGTGAATACACCTATCTCAAAAGGACTTCAAATAGAACTCGTTGAACTCTCTCCGATTGGATTGAAATATTTTCACTTTACTATAGGCCTAGACCTACCGTACCAGGATTTTTTTTTGGTTAATTTTGATCATACGAGGTCCAGGACCGCGAGGACGAAAGGGGAATCCTACCCGAAGAAAAGCCCTGGGACGGTAGGTCTGGGCCACCCTGTAGAAAAATGTAGTTTTGGCATGTTCTACATTAAAATGCGTCAAATTGCTGATTGATTTACTGCTTAGGATTGCGTACAATAAGAGTATGAAAAGAAAAGTAAGTTTTTTAACTTTTAATTTCTCTCAGAAATGATGGACCTCAGAGAGACAATCTGTCACACCCGTTACGTCACACCCGTAACGCAAACGGTAGGCCTGGGCCACCTTGTAGAAAAATGTAGTTTTGGCATGTTCTACATTAAAATGCGTCAAATTGCTGATTGATTTACTGCTTAGGATTGCCTGCAATAAGAGGATGAGAAGAAAAGTAAGTTTTTTAGCTTTTAAACTCTCTCAGAAATGATGGACCTCAGAGAGACAATCTGTCACACCCGTTACGTCACACCCGTTACGCAAACTCTCCCATTTTTCAAGGAAAGAAAAAAAGATAATCGAAAACGGATCATCGGCAGATGAAGCAAAAACCCTTGGCTTCATCATATAATTTAATCAGATTTTTAAATTCATAAAATTCGCTGAGTTTCCACTTTACACTCACTGAGGAAAAACTCACTTCCAAAATCGGTCACGCCCGTTACGCAGCCTTTTAATTTTCTCCTGAGGAATGGAACAAAGTAAAAACAATTTCTGATAAACTAAAATGATCTATAAAAAAAATTCTTTCTGCTACTGCAGATAGTTTTTTAATTAAACCCCAAGAAAGAGTTCAAATTCTTGTTTAAAGTTAAATTGTCGTCACACCCGTTACAATGGAATGACCCACAAGTGATTGAATTTTTGCTCAATATACTCGAAATAACTGATGTTTGTAAGTAAATTGTGGTAAAACTGTAATAAAAAAATTGTCTGGACTCATATTTCAACTATAGATAATTTTAAATCTCTTATCTATTGAAGTATACAAAAATTATATTGATTTATTTTATTAGGTGATTTAAGGTTATGAGTTGGACTATTAATAATTGATTAATAATTTGATATTTAATAGAAGTAATACTTAAATACGCATTAGAACCAAGCAGCGGTAAAGAAGCATCATCAACCCTGAAAATTAATTGTTTTTTATCTTAATTTTAGTACATACCCGCTTTGCCTTGTAAGCTCCTAATTAATTATCAACCTTCAGATTGTGCTAATGTCTGTTTGTTTTTATTTCCAGTCTAATTCTTTCTCTAATCAAAGACAACCCTCTGGAGAAAGACGGTCTACCATCTGATCATTAAAATTGAAGACTTCACCACTGTATCTCATGTTAATATTAATTTTTTACCTCCTAAGCTAATGTTATTACTCTTAAGCTTTAGTCAATTTTGCACTCTCTCTTTCTGCCTCAACAAGTTAATTTACTAATTTGTTATGAGTATGCAGACAACATGGCTATGCCTTCACACAATTTTGTAAACTGATCGATCTTTACCTCAAATTTTAAATATTATCATTATTTGAAACGTCTATCTCCAACATGGTTATGTTTCATACAATCCTACCTGTAACCTTTCAGAAAAAATGGTGAATATAAAAACTAAATATTCATTGTGTTTTTAAAATTTTTGTTTCCTTTTATCTTTATATTTTATCATTTTAGTTGCCTACAAAATTTGTATTAGTAGGTACTTTCTCAAACTTTCAATAAGCGGTGTGGAGTCCATGTGTTTGCAATGTACTAGAAAACATTCAAATTTTTTCGATACGTTTTTTTAGATTTTTCTGGTGAAAATTTTAAAAAATAAAAACAACCCTATTAAATTATTGTCATGCTGTAGACTGTTTTATTCCTGCACACTCAATTGGCCTAATACATTTTAGCACATGTTGTACAAAATTAAAACAAATGCAGCATGATGCTTAGTTTTGTAAATAAAATTGTCCAGCCCTCTTCTTCAGTCCTGATGAAAATTTTGCTAAAGGCATAGTTTCAATGTTGTCAGTAAATCTACCAATCTTCTTGTTGATTTGTATGAAGTCTCAGGATTGGTACTTCCGATCGTTCCAACCAAATAATCTTCATTTATTCTAATATTCAGTGCTGCACGTATATTAAAACTTTACTTTAACTTGCCATCATATTGATGATTTACTAAAAAAAATTCTCGCCGGTGAATCCTCTCAGAGAAGAGGAAAATTCTCTCTTGAGGCAATCTGAGCCAAATTAAAGTGATTCACAAAATCTCTTACTTCAGGAACTATATTTATTTGACTTCTAATGCAGAAAAGAGACCATTTTGGCCCGAAATTCTTAACTGTCACTAATTCTGACAAAAGGGTTCTGATCTAGATAGTGTCATAACCTTCAGAAAAAATCATTAAAATTTTGTTGATATTTCATCATTAAAATGTTTTGGTACAGAGTTCTCAAAAATATTATACCACTGGTTTGATATTCACTTTGATCAGAATTTCTGTCTTAACATTTATTTGAGCCTATCTTGACACAGAATTCAGCGCTTAGAAAATTGATTAAACAATTTATTTGAACTTGAATGGGTCAAATGCAGTCATGCTTACAAAAAATGTAAGTCTTAAGAGGAGAGTTTTGTGTGTACTGATGTGTGTTCAGTAAGTTTCTCAGATGTTGAGAATTGATGGTTTTTAACCTAAAATGTACTTTTTCACCTTGGTTTTTGTATTTTGTTTGATTGAAAAGGTTGATAAAGTTTTTTTCGAAAAAAAAAAAGATCTTGAATTTCTTTACTTCCACATCTGTCGCAAGTGTAAAATTTTCTCTTGCACTTCACATTATCATTTAACTTATTTGACTTGTTATCTGCATCATAGAGCACAAGTTATGAATATGACAAAATAACAGGGCTCAAATAGTTCTAATCCTATGCATTTTCCGAAAAGGCCTCTACGACTTACTGGAACATGTTGGGTTTTGTGAAAAGGTCAACACAATGTACTAATTAAATTAATTTTTCAGTAGATTTGCATTTTTCATTCAGATTTTGCACAAAATCATCATATCGTGTTGTTTGCATTTTTCAGGAGAAAAAACATTTGGACTTAGCAGTTTTTTAAGCCTAAAAGATGATGAATGTGAAGGTATCTCTCATTTTTTTCTTATCACTTGAGTTGAAATTTATGACTCAACAGAGGTAGATCTATTAGTAAGGTGTGCTTTCAAATTACTAATTATTTTGGGGGCTACAAATAGAATCACCAATACTATTTTTAATCGGCACAACGCAATAGCTGAAATTTTCACTGTCAACACATCACCTAAGAATTGTGCAGCTTACACAGCTAGTGCTGTAAAATTTCAGGCATTTTTATATTTCATCAGTGACTCCATTTGCAGTTCCTATGACGAAATTGCTTCAGACTTTTAACCATTACCCAACATCACATACACACATGCTAGTCAAATTTTGTTATATCTTAAAAAATCTTTTTTGCATGCAATCTACCTTTCAAATCATACGAAAGCTTCCGGACAGTTGATTCTCTCAACTTTATGAGACATTTTGTTGTCAATTACATTATATTATGAAAAAGTGGGAGCATTAGCGAAAAAAAAAAACTTCCATATTGATTGATCATTTACAAATGTACTTACAATAGAAATTAAGTCAACCACAATAAAATTATAAAAATATTGATGTTGTACTTTCACACATAAAAAAAGAAAATGGAAAAGTGGTGAAATAAATAATACAACAAATTTTCCTTTCTCTTTTTTGCAACACTTACTCAAAAAAATTAGGTGCAAGACCAATTCCTCTTTCTTAAGTCTCATGAAATAAAGCCTATGACAAATTCTTCTCAGTGTTTTCCATTAAGGGTAATGCTAGATTTTGACGATAATTTAAAAGTTTTCATGTGTATACATGTTCATGCAAGCTGACATCAATATGAGAAATCTGAGATTCACTAAATTAATTCCTAATCTACTTACTTCAGTTCAAAAGAAATTAAATTAGAGAAAAACAACACCATCTTCAAAACAATTGCAAGTTACTTATATTCATAATTCAAAAACTAGTTTTAAAATTTGAAAGACTTTCATCTAGATACTGTCTAAGTTAGGAGCAGCCAGGGAGTTTTAACAATGCAAAAGTGAAAAACTGCCAATGAAACGGTTTTTTAAATCTAAAACTGAAGAAATAAATTATGGCCGATCTTCCAAAATTTTACTCAAACTCATGGTAAAAGATTACAGGCTTTAAACCCTATGAAATCCATTGGAGAGAGTAGAAGATTAACTGAGAAGATGAAAGGAAAAACTCCGTTGACGGTGCATTCCATTTTATAACTGAAGAATTCATATTAATGACTCAATGAAGCATCAGGGATAATCAGCTCAGTCAGTGAGTCTGGAGAACATCATATCACCTGATATTTTAAGGTAAAGCTGAAGTCTTTTTGATAAAGTTTATTATGCAAAATTTCTTCATGCTGCTTTGAACTTTTTCTTCTTATGTGCTTTGTTCACTTTGGCCTTTAGTGCATCCAGATCCACATCACTACTTTCCTTCTTCCGTTTCTGAACTGGTGCCTCCTCCGGTGGGACGAATGCCTGATTCCTCTTTGCCTGTCGTCGCTTGTCTGCTTCGATTTCTTTCTCCTTCTTTTCACTTGCTTTCTTGTACTTCCTCTCGTCCTCTTTAAGGAAGTACTCACCAGATGCCAGCATTTTATCCACCTGAAAGAGAAAAAAACAATATTAGAAGAGAGAACTATACCACATTTTGGCAGGGCCTCAATTTTCAAATTTTAAAGTACGGTTGAATTATTTGCAGACTCCTGAAATTTTAAAATCCTAATTGCACCTCTGGAAAACTTGAGCTGCAGGTTTAGGTTGCCACTTACTATTGCCTTTTCAGCCATTTTTACACCTGTCTACTTACTTTCTGGCAAGCTCTGATTTTGAGAAAATTTCGTTGAAGGTCAATGAATTTTTTGTTCACTTGCTTTCACACTTTGACCCTGCTCATTCTTACTTGTGCAATGAACTTTAAGAATATACTTCTTTAACAGCTGAAAGAAGCACTGAGCTAAGATAGACCATCCAAGCTTTGCTGTACTTTTAACACTTTAATGCTTACCTGATTTGATGTCATAATACAAATAGTGCATTTACAAAAAGATTATATTCTAGTTTTTTCATTACGAACAGTTTACCTGCTTTAAAAAGACACACTGAGTATGCTTCTTTCTAATATATACTGTAGTTTAAAACGGCTTCATGGCAAGGGCACCTAATTCCCCTACTTTTTTATTGCGCTTAAAAGCAAATGAAAATCATTTTACGGGTACTACTGTCCCCACCTAGGCAGGGTACAAACAGCAATAGATACCAATCTCTACCAGTCTTTCTCCCTTATGATGAGGGTAAAATACCAGAGGTAAAACAAGCAGAGTTTTGCAGCCCACGATTAGATTTGATTGGTGCTCTTTCCTGGTACATCTCGATTCCAGCAGATTTTTTATGAAAGATCGCAGCTGCTCTGTATTTGGACTTGGCCACATACTTAATCTTCAAAACTTAAGAATAATGTTTACAGAGACAGACAGATCCAAAGATGAGGTACCAGACCAAAGAATGCAAGAAAGCGCTTTTCAAAAACATGATACTTCCTTAGAAACGTCTTTCTCACATTATACGAATCAAGATTCTATTTTTAACTTCATGAACTGATGAAGTATCGAAATCGAGATGATAGAACACAGATCATTGTACATTTTTGACCATTAAATATTCGAGAACCAAAGTTACCAGACAGATAATTACCTTGCTTTCAGGCTGGGGGGGCGGGAATGGAGTGTATTGCTTCTTTTGTTTCTTGACTTTGGGCTGTTTTCGCTTGCTCGTATTTTTGGACTGGAACTTTGGTAAAAAGCGTGTCCAGTCTTCATTTTTCAGCTTAGGGTCCTTCATCAGCTCTTTCTTTATCATAAGGGCTTTAATATTGTAGATAGGATGGACATTTTTCATAGTGTCCTCCACAATTTTTCGTACCTGTAACATAAACCAATAATTTCCTCATTAAATATAAAAAGTTTCGATTAAGTATGCACAATAAAGCTGGCCACAGATGGCCACAAATGGTAGGACTCAGGGACTGCTTGCTCCGAGATATTTTTTCTACATTTATGCGAGTTAACAAAGTTGAGGAACTGTTTAGTGTGAGCTGTTGTAGCTATGGAATGTGTTGAAACACATGAAAAAACACCAGATTACACTTCACAGTAGTCTGCTGACTGCCACAACCCACTTTAGAGTTAAGAGAAGATAGCTAATACTACAAAAGGGGTGGGTGGCTTCGCTATGGAAAATGCTCACATTTAGAGAGCTTGTAAAACGATCTCAAGATCAAACAACAGTGGAAAACAAAGGGTACGTGAAAGCAGCCCGAAACGGAAACGATAAACGAAAACACAGGAAAAAGCGGAAACAAGGCTAAAAATACACAATAAAAGGCAGGACGTTTCGGTACCTTACGGCACCATTATCAACTGCAACAAGAATTAAAAATAAAAAGAAATTAAAATAAAAACCAGCAAACGTCGTTACATCGTGAAATTGGTAAAATGAAATTGAATTTGAAAATGAAATTGGATCAAACAACATTTCACTCACTTGCACGTAAAATTTTGATACCTAGCGAATGCGTTTTGCCTGCTGTCCTTTTGGCATTCTCAGCGCAATGCTGGAGGCAGCGCTGGCACACTGATTATAAACATTTTACATGTAAGTGAGTAAACCGTTGTTTGATTTGTTATCTTGTGCGGGTCTCCGAAATGAATGACATTATTAACGATCACTAGATCAAGAATTCAAATGATACCAGTACCGATTTCCACCTCTCGGAGCAGAAAAAATCATAACTGCTAATTCTCTTTTTTTAAAATTGGGCAGGATTTTGCCGTGATAATGGTACAAATGAAATGGAACGCATTAAGCAGAAAGGAACCAAGCCACATCAGATATTGCCAAATTTAAGTGTGCAACTTAATTTTTTACATGAAGACAGTTCTGCGGATTTTTGTGCAAATTTCAGTAAATATTCTGCATGGTATGAAGCAACTTTCTTTAAATTTTCAAAGAAATCCGCTTAAACAAATGTATGTATGAGTTGCTTTTACTGCGCTCTAGAGCTCTGCTTTTCTAGGGCGCTCTGCGATGTCTACTCGCCACAGGAATCTATCATGGTAGAGATCCCTTGGAAGCTGGCTCCATCTCTTCACGGATGCCCTCTGCCCACCGATTGGCTGGACGCCCTCTCCATCGCCGACCTGGAGGAACCCACTCCAACACCTTCTTCGGCGACCTGGTATCAGCCATCCTCTGCACATGCCCATACAATACCAATTGCTTGGTCATGAAATCGTGCACAATTGTCCCCTCAACGCCCATTATCTCTCGGACATGTTCATTCCTGTTATGTTCTCTCCTCGAGACTCTAGCCAAACGCTTAAATGTTCTCTTGTAAAAAACAGAATTGCCCAATAAAATTTGGCGATAGCTGATGTGGCTTAGTTCCTTTCTGCTAAACGCGGTCCAACTACATTCGTCTCTTCTTCACTCTTGGGTCTGCAATGTGTGTTTATAGTTGGCAGAGTTCAGTTAAATAATCAGTGGCAAATTCTAGTTTGGGTTAAAAGATACATGTTTCTGCAAAAGCAGACTGACCCAGTTTTGTCAGATCCAGTCACTGACACAGAGTTGGCGTAAAGTGGCATAAATCAAGAACTACTAAGAATAGGCATGGACAAAGAATTGATTGATCTATGAATTATAAGCACAAACCTGCAATAGTCCTTTGTGAGGTCCTAGCGCAGATACTGTTTGACCTTGTACTAAAACATAACAATTTGTTAGAAGCTCTATTGACTTTAGCGTACAACCATTTGGACCGATAATTCGCTGCCGCCTCTTTATGAATTTTTCTTTGTTCCGTACAAAGGATTTAATTTTAATTATATCACAACCTATTTCATCCTGTAATATTTTCACAGCCTGTTCAAATGGTACACTACGAGAGAGAAGTTTGATCATGTCACGCGCTTTGAGAATTATGTATGGATCCCATGTCTTCCTCGTTGTTTTAACAGTTAAACTACCTTCCAACACATCCATTTCACACTTGATATTGTGAGCTTCTAAGGCTTTTTCTACAAGAGGCCAACATTTCCTGAGATACTGTTCTCTGTACTTTGGAAATAGTATACTGAAACTGCTCTCTTCGAGGAGGCCATGGGGGTTGTCTTCAGGCTTGAATTCTGGAATTTTCATAGACCAAGCATTATCAATAACCGTGTCACTGGACATTTTCACGTTAACTGTACATATAACACTTTTCAAAAACACTCATAAAAAGGATTAAAAATTGAATTAATTGAAACAAACCACGTTGTATGGCGATTATACTTCCACGAGCGAAAGTTGAGGTTATGGCTATGTTGACAATGCTGAATAGGCAAGTGGCTGTTGCCTGATTATCCACTTAATCCACATCTAAAAAACTGGAAATAATAAGATCAGGAAATAAACCTAGTTGCTTGTCCAGTACTACTAGGAAGCTCATCTTGAAAAAATTTAGAATTTATTCAATAATCCATACATCGCCCTACTTTTAAAATTAGTCCAGAGGGCACTAATTATGAGTAAAATAATTAAATCTCAACCGGCAACAGCTACTTTATTTACAAGTTAAGCAACCTAAGCATGCAAAAATACGCAATTTTGCGATCTTTAATTTTTTAATAAGAGTGATTCCTATTTGATTTTTAGATTTTAAAACAAACCTCGATTAAGGAAGCTAGAAATAATTTATTTTTTCAGATTTTCGGACAGTTTTTAGGCTCATGAGCTGAGAAGTCGATATACAGCCCGCGTACAAAAAGTTGGCAGTGCTGCTACATCGCTCAATAAATTTAAATGTTAAACCGCGTTCACGGGCAGTACAATGCTATGAACGGGCGGCTACAATAATAATTATTTTTCCTCTCACAATATAAGGAGCTAATTTCTTTCCAGGTATTGTCGAATAATTAATACCTCAAGTCAATTATTTCTTTCTAAGACGAGCTGCGTTCAACAGGGAGGGAACCAACTCCATGCAACTGCATCTGCTGCGATTATATGACCTCCTTTTATTCGCTAAAGAATCTATGTTCACACGTAAAAATAGAGATTTTTCTAAGCCATATTAAGTGCAATTAAATTATAGAAAAAAAGAAGAAGAAAAAATGTTGCCTTATTTCTGAATATTAAATAGCAATTTATTCAAAAGAAATTTTTCTAATCGAATTTCTATTTTTAAAAACTCTGCTATGGGTTATGATCAGAGTTCAATTTTTACCGGTAAAATATAAAGAGTACTACCTAGTAATTAGTTATATATATAAAAAAAATGTAGTGGCTTCTAAATAATAGCAACTCTTACGCAACTGATGAATGTAAAACACCGAGGTACAAATACAAAATACAAAAATCAGATTCTCGAGGGCACATTTTCGTGGCATTGCCAAACAACAGCTCCTCTGTAAATTCCGGATAGAGCAAATCTTCTAGATCAAAAATTTCCCATTGGATTCGACTATAATTGAATGCAATATTCTGCAGCTGAACATTCAGCTATTTTTGGGTTCACAAAATATATTTTCTGGAAAAAGACAGCTAGAAATTTTCTTAAGGGTTAGGACATTTCGTCAACGATTTATTGTCCGCGCACCTGTTTTTTCCAGTAATTTACGTCCACGCGTTTTTTCGGCACGGGAGTTTTGGTCCACGTGCCAGTTGAGACTCAAAATTAATTGGCCCACATGTAAATACAAACGATAATTGCTCACGACGTTTTTGGATGAGAATATATAATGTCTTGGAAGAATGAGGGTTTGCTTGTTTTTTTTTTTTTTTTTTTTTTTTTTTTTTTTGTTTTTTTTTGTCTGTTTGGTCCAACGGAGAATAATATATAGTTGAGAGTTTTGGTAAAAATGGGGGAGCATCAATTCCATGAGACAAAATTCACTAAAACTCTCTATACCTCTTTGGTGTAACAAGACTTAATTATCTTTCAAGAAATTCCCACGTTGTTATACCTGAACCGGATAAACCTCTGTAGTTGCCTCAGCTAAAGGCTCTTAGATTTTTCCTATGTACAATAAGTATCTTGATTTATTTTGCGAGGAAAGATCTGTACTTTTAAAGGATGCCTGTTATTCTCAATACGTTCAATTTCGTAAAATACTGTGCAACATCTCTGTTATGAAATGCGGCCAGCGCGAAACGCGCATTGGCGCCTACAAACCTAAGTGGATACTTCAAGCATTGTGCAATGCATGAAGTTTCCACTTAGGTTTGTAGGCGTCAGTGCACGCATTGCACAATGCTTGAAGTATCCACTTAGGTTTGTAGGCGCCACAGTGCACGCATTGCACAATGCTTGAAGTAGGTATCCACTTAGGTTTGTAAGCGCCAGTGAGCCTCTCGCGCTGGCAGCACGCCGCTCCGCTCTGTTCGGCTGTAATATTTAAATCGCATAGTCAGCGTTTTTTAACTCATGATTTTGAAATGTTAGCACACTCTGCATTGATTATTCTCATTTAAATTGATGGGAAAAAATATGCATCAATTTATCAAAGGAGAAAAATAATAAAATGTGTGTTTTTTAAATATTGGTGGTTCCGTGTCAAATTTAATGATTTCCAAAGCACTTTAATTTTTTCTTTTACATTTTATGCTTTTATTGTGCTGCAGCGAGGTGTACGTGTAACGTCCTGACAAAATGTCCTGAAACCTTCCTCAAGACGTGATGGATTTGTCCCATCCAAAACATTTAAGGGAAACCAGTATTTTATGACAAAATTTGTTCGATATCTTGATGCTTATTGTTCACTTTCAAGGTAGATTTACCTTGAATGGAATCACAGTTGCAAATAATACCGAGAGTGGCTCCCCTGGATGCCGTTTTGTAGGGCATGGGGGGTTTACCCGCCACTAGACTCCTTTTCAATGAGGAGACTATATTTAGGAGGATGAATGTTCTCTACACCCTGGTAAAAATGATAGGTTGATATCAGTTATAATCAGTAGCGGAAATGAACTGATATTAACTGATTTTAACTGATATCGACGGTTACCAATTGATACCAGTTGAAAGTCTCCAGATATTTGATGAGTGTCAGTTGGTATGTACCAGTAGAGGTTGTACTGATACCAGATTATACTCAATAGATCTGTGTTGAGCCTCAATAGGTAACAGTTGAAATTTGCTACGTATCACTTGAGGTTCAATTGATATCGGTCCAGCATGAACTTTCATCTGTTGAACATCAACTGATCCAAACAGAAATTCAATAGACGTCAATTACAAGTTTAAACTTAGTCCAATGGGGCTACGTATGCATTTTAACAGGACGATCTGGTTGGCATGTTTGACAAGGCCCACTAGGCCACTTCATCAAGGCATCTAGACTTCAGGGCCACTACATCAATAGAGATATTTATATTAGTTTAATCCCTTTTCCATTCAATTTTTTTCTACGGTAGGTAAATGCATTATTTTATGGTTTTAAAATCTCGAATACCGAATGCTGATTATTTGAAATTCTACGGCCGTTCAAAGATTATATCACTTGCTAAAGAAAGGAGGAGTTTAAGGACAGTGCAATACGTAGGTGGGTACCCAGCGCTGCTTGCTGTTACACAAAAATCGGTCCTTCACACCAGTTCCATGGGTTTGTCGGCACGGGAGCATGGATTTTATACCAAAAATTCTGTGCGATGCCTACTTCAATTTGTTGTGATTTTGATCAGGAGAATCCCCCATGTAAAAGGGGGTATAATGTGTAATTTTTGAGCCGCTCCCATCGTAACTGATCTCATATTACTAGATACTATATTTGGTTGATACCTACCATCCCCAGTAAGAATTTTTTCCCCCTACTAAAAAGAGATAAATTTTAACCTTTTTTTTTCTTAATAAGCCGTAAATATTAATACAAAACATGTAATATTTATCCCATGGTTGACGGCTCTTAGAACGCTTTCACGTTTAAAAAAACGTAAATTTATATACATTTCTATCTTTTTTACGTAAAAATGTCCTTAGGGCGTTAACCATGGAATCAATTGTACATCTTTTCAACTTTTCTCTCACGCCTGGTAAAATTACGTAAAAATATTGGAAATTACAATAACATTTACTTACGTAAAAAATATATTAAAAATAACGTAAAACTGAAGAAAAATAATCTTGGTAAATCAAGTGTTTACATGAATTTCACTTCAAATTCATATCAAAAAATGTAAAAAGAAAAAAGATGTGATTTCGAGGAGACTAAACATTTTTCATATAAAATTTCGAAGTGGCTATTCGTCGGTACGGTACCGACGGATAAATGGCTATTCGTCGGTACCGTACCGATGAATAAATAGCTATTCGTCGGTACCGTATACTTTGATTTTAGTACGTAAATTATATTAAAGATATGATTTCTTGATAATATTTTGGTGGAAGTTAAGAGCTAAAAATTGGGTGAAAGATGGAAAAAAAACCCAACACGAGTTGTAAAGAAATATTCTCCAAATTTAATTCATGTATTTAATACTCTCACATAATACTGAAATGTACTACTCCGTCAAATAAATAATCATAATACTGAAATGTACTTCACTGTCAAATGAATCATCATAATACTGAAATGTACTACTCTGTCAAAAGAATCATCAAGAACGCTTCTTTTTTCGGGTGGTGGGGCCTTTAGTTTCATTTGCAGGTGTTTTCTTTCGTTTTCGTTTTTCGGGGGGATTTTCCACGGATTGTCGGTCGGCAACGGTGCGATTAAAGGAACAAAGTTATCTTGCTGGCAGTTTAGGTCGCCCTCGTGAAATGACTTTACTCTTAAATTTTAGCTTCGTGAAGCTCTCTGCACTGACATTTTCGTCAGGTGGAGCAGCAACAGAAACCGAAGATTCGCTAGTGGTGAAATAGCTCTCTGCACTATGATCGTTGTTAGTTGGGGCAGTAACAGAAACCGAAGATTCGCTGGTGGTCAACGAACTACACCTCTAGAATGGCCGCGAGATAGCAAACCTGCGTAACGCGCATGGGCCGGTTTTTGAAGGCAGGAGGGGGGTGGGAGCCCAAGTATAGCTAACCTCAATCTCCATTTCTGCTGCGTCTTGCCCATAAGGATTACATGTGAAAATTTCAACCTTTGTAAACTTTCATTTTTTTGAGGTTTTCTTTCAAAGTTCCTATTTTTTGAGTAAAGAAAACCTATTGAGGTGCGATTGTTACCATGTTTTCAATCATCTTGAATGAACTTAAATAACTGTTGAATTGCGTGCACTGAAAAAAAATTCTCGGCGTTTTTACCACGGTCCGTTGGTACCTTTACCATCTCACTATTTTTTTACCAATTATTGGTAGTTTTACCAAGATAGACTGGTAAGCTTACCTAAAAACCGGAATTTTTACTGTTTTATTACTGTTTATTTTTTACTGTTTATTTTTACTCGCAACAGAATTGCGATCTCAAAATTTGAGAAAAATGACGAATTGCTGAAAAAATGGAACCAATTGATGCGATATATCGCATGCCGTTCTGACACAAAATATGGCGGCCATCGAATCACCTTAATGTCGCCCATGCGGTACCGACGAATAGCCATTCATCGGTACGGTACCGACGAATAGCCATTTATTCATCGGTACGGTACCGACGAATAGCCATTTATCCGTCGGTACCGTACCGACGAATAGCCTCATCCATAAAATTTACATGAATTTAAGTAAATGATTTCCTTACCGGCGACAACTTGAGCCCTTTTTTTAACATAATTTTATCACTACACAAAAAGAACGTGGCAAAAACACATAAAAATTATCTCGATCATTTTTTTTCTTAACTGAAAATTCATATAAAGACATATTAATTTCTTCAACGCTCACCACTCGAAAATATTTTTTTCCATAATTTACACATAAAAATTACATGAAAAGAATGTGACGAAAACACAAAAATTACCTTGATCAATTATTTTTTTCACATTAAATTCATATAAATATGTTAATGACATTTTTTTGACCCTCCCGCAATAAAGATTTAATTAGTTGTTTTCAAATTTTTTTCATGATTATTTTCAAGTTCTTATAAGTTGATTATTGATTTTTCATCATTTCATCTTCTTCTACATCTTTAATTATTATTTTTGGTTTCGCATTTTGTGTTTCTTAGTCTCATCTTTATGGAAAACATAACTTGTAAAACTTCACTTACATTTTAAGTGATTAAAAAATAAAATGAAAAAAATAAGTGTAGATTCAAATTCAACACAAAATCATCACTCTCTGTCAAATTGATTCTAGTGGGGGCCCTGAAATGGCAAAAATACGTCGATTTTAATCGCATGCGCGGATGGAGTAGTGGCTCTGTCTCTTGGACGATCACCGAAGTTAAGCAACGCCGAGCGTAGTTAGTACTTAGATGGGAGACCGTATGGGAATGAGCGCTGCCTGCTTTGTAAGCCTCGTGTCAGAAATACGAGAACGGTAATTCCCAGCAGAGCTTCTCTGGTCGTCAAATCGTGAGGTAAATGTGAGAAACTGAATAAATACGTAAAATTACACAAGCAGATAGTGCGTTTTTAATTTATGTCTTATCAGTTGATACATGGTACCAACTGATACCAAGTATCATTTCAGATCTGTTGATACTTCGAACTGCCACCACTTATCAGTTTAGATCAGTTGAAGCCATCAACTGACCCGATCTCAATTAATGTCTACTGATGCTCCGCGCCAAAACACCGTTGACAAACTGATACACCGTCAACTGATCATTTTTACCAGGGCAGACTGTGCCTAGGGGTCCAAAAATCCGAAAACCTGAAAATACCCGTTCAGAGAACGTCTACATTTCAGGACACATCAGGGGATTAAGCTAGGTAGGTACCAGGAATTTCCTTCGTCTCATACTCTGTTTCAGTCGCACTCAATATATGTATAGTCTCGCTCTACCAAAATTCAAATTATGACTCATTCTCAGTTAACTTGTTTCATATCACCAGTGTACAATGAGCATTAACTGTTAATTATCTCTTAATACTGCGATTATACAACTCCGAAGCGTTATATTTTGATGTTATCTATTCGACTATATAAGCTTCGACGACACACGTCACTTCGGGTCCTTCCATCGATACCCGTGTCTCATGTGCGGCACGTTGCGCTTTTTCTTTGCTTCAAGTTTTTTTGTGCGTAGTTTCTATATATTTTTTAAAGACTTCGTACGGTAGGTAAAACCATTATTAAAACTTACCGTTCTGCTGGGATGGCATGGTACTTGTTTTCGCTGGAGCAACAATAAGACGCTTTTCTTCACTCATTGATCTCTTTGAGTAAAGCTGAGCTCGATTTTCCTTTAAACTTTTTGATTTTTTCTTAGGAATTGCACAATCTAAGGACTAGGTATACTCAGCTACATATGAACGAAAAATTTTCACCAAAATCCAAAGCTAAACCCACCGGTGATGAAAAGAATAACGATCGATGCCAATATTAATCACCGAGAATGAAAAACGCCGTATAGCTTGGGTAAGATGTCACGTATTTTTGCAAGTTCTGGCAATACCGCGCGCCGCGCCGCGCCGATCATGAGATGGTGATAACATGGTTACCGGATCACGCTTCGATTTACTCGGACGACAGTTCAGCGCAATAGTAGGTAACTAGGGGGCTACGCCCCCTGGCCGCTACGCGGCCCAACCCCCTGAAGGCGCTCCGCGCCGTCAATGGGCCGCTTCGCGGCCCTATTTTTACCCTCCTATCAATGTTAGTTTTATTTTTCCCCTAAAAAATTACGATATGAGGTATACTTTAATTTTAAACTTTACTTAAAATTACTTTAAAATTAAAAGGACGCGTTTTGGAATGACCGCTTGATGAAATATTGCAGTAAAAACAATGAATATTGATAGTCAGGCAATAATTAAAGGCTTTTGGGTCGGGGATCGATCCCACACCCAGTGCCATTTGGACGCATTTGACATCTTAGACGACTCGGCCACTGCTCGATATGAGGCATTCTGCGCGAATCTTGTGTAGATAAGTGTAGAGTTGATGCGCAGGCTACACAGCTACTGCGCAACCTTCTCGACCACTGCGCATCCTCGCATAGCGGTAGCAGTACCGGAGCATTCTGTAAACTCACTCACTTTTATAACGTGATTTTAAAAAAACCTGGGTCCTTTTTCCAAAATCTGATTATAGCGGGCTCATCTAGGGCCTATTACCTGTCGATTTACGCAAAAATCATGGAAATCGGCCCGGTAGAACGCTCAAACAAACTATGACAAAAAGTATAAATTTACATTGTTTAAATGGGAGAATTCGCAACTTTACCACGTAATATAAAAAAACATGGGCCATATTTTGAAAATCTGAAAAGAGTTGGCTTATCTAGAGGCAAATGCCCGTCGACAGCCGCAAAAATCATGAAAATCGGCCCGGTAGAACGCTGGAACTAAGCGTCACCAGTTCCGCAAAATTAGGAGGTCTTGGAGCTTATAGTATAGAAGATAACTCCGCCCCTAAACCCCCCGATGTAATGCCCAGGCCCATTTGTATACCTCTCACATCGCCCACCGCATATGAATGAACACATGTCATGTCCCTGTACCCTCCACATGTGCCTGCCTCTTTGGATACTTTTCACCCCTAGCATTGCATTAAAATGCATCAACGTCAGATCTCTTTGTTCTCCTCTTGTACCTGCCCATGTGTATACCTTGCACCCCAAGCATCGCATTTAAATGAACCAATATGTCCAGTCTCTCTCCTCACCGCGTACAATTAACTGCCCATTTGGATACCTTTTACCTTGAGAATCATATAAAAATGAACCATCTCCTCTGCCCTTCGCATCTACCTGTTAATTTTGATACTTCCCACTACCAGTTTTGCATTTGAATGAACTCACGCCCTGTCTCTCTGCCCTATTCCTCAAGCCAGCGCCAGTCCTAATTCCACTACCTGATCTGCGAATGTTTGTTTCTGAAAGCCCCGGTCACTGTCTTATCGGAGAAGAATACTAGGGTTAGGTATTCCAGCCCCCGTCCCTTGGTTTTGGGTATCCAGTCTTTGTAGATCAACCTGACTGTCAAATCCATCTGTCAGTATTTGCATGACTTGCGTTCACTGACCCTTGATCATAAAATCCAATCTTCGTTCTTTGGTGATTCGTTGTCTTGAGTCTTAAGGACGCATTGATAGTTTTTTTTTTTTTTAAGTTTTCGTTTTTGATTTAAAGGTCTGGACACCAAGAAAGGAAAGATGTTGTCAATCAACGATTCCTCCAAGATACTAAATCACCGGCCATTTCAGTTGGACGAATTGCGCATTAATCGAAGATGAAAACCACTCGAATGCGGTGTGTTCAAATTGTGATACCATGCCAAAAAATGTTGGTAAAGACAAGGTAGGTAAAAATTCACAACTGAAGAGTTCGTAATTAAAAGGATAACAAAGTGCTACTTGATGACCATCCCTAGTATTAAAGATCTGAAACCACGAACAGAAGGAGCGAAACAAGGTGCAGCAAGGTGAAGAGGAATTAACAGACGAAGATATTAATGCCAGAAGTAACAGCAGCAGCACTTGGCTTTTCGGAATTGGCAAGAATATGTTTTGATCAGCAAATTAAATAGAAATGTATGTGAATTTAATTAATGGAGCTTTTGACTTTGAAGAGCTTTTTCTCAAAGTTTTGGTGACCGGAAATTTTTTTTAAAAATTACCTCAATACTCAGTTGACCTCAAACTTTTCTAGAAAAATCCAATTTTTTTTAAAAAAATTCCATGCAACTACCCCCATTATGACCTCAATGACATAAACTTTTTTCTAACAAAGAAGTAGAAAAATTAACGTCTACTGTAATTTTATCTCCCAAGAACGAAGACGTTAATAAAATAAATAAAAAAATATTGGAATTTTTAGAAGGAGAAACTAGAAAATATCTAAGTTACAACAAAATAACAAACGCAACAAATGAATAGAAAATTCAATATCCCATAGAATTTTTGAACGAATTAAAACCATCAGGAATTCCAAATCATTCCTGAAAATAAAAGTTGGTGCCATAATAATGCTCTTGAGGAACCTAAATACCAAAAAAAGGACTTTGTAATGGAACTAGAATTTTAGTAACAGAATTTTATGTAATTTAATATTTAAAATTAAATACTTACTACAATATTATAACAATATAATATAATGCAATAATATTATATTAATACAAAATTATTAAATGGTTCTTCTGCTTCATTTCAAGTGACAAAAGTGTATGTTGAATACTGTACGGTACTACAGTACTATTATTAGGTACTACATTTATCATTCCTGCTGCATACGGTGTGGGGAGCGGCTGTGGCTCCGACCCTGAAAACATCACCAAATGTAAGTACATGAGTGCTAAATGAAGGCGGGAAGAATCAAACCTATACACGCAATATTTCTCAAAAGGTATATGCACCTCTTTTAAGAATGGGTTAGTTGCGCTGGTCTCAGAATCGTGCTTTGATGCTAGATCGTTGTAGATTACCTAAAAAGAACAAGATCCATCCGAACAGCAACNCAAATTTTTTTTTTTTTTTTTTTTTTTTTTTTTTTATTTGCACAAAACGAATTTAACATTGTACAAGAAAAGAGCTTTTAGATTTACACAATCTTTGAAAAGCGTTTTTAACTTTAGCCTTATAAGCTATCTACTATTTTTAACAAAAAAGAAAAGACCAACCTAAAATAAACAGGTGGAGAATTTAGAGCCAAATTATTACATAATAATATGGGTCGATTTTTTGAACAAGTTTCAGTATGCTATTCATCTGAGACAGAAAATGTCTCCTTGTATGCTCAAGTTAAAACAAGGAGCCTTAGGAGACATATAATTTAATCTTTTTTAAGCGATATAATTTTTGCTAAAGCGTCTAGCATAAATGAGTTTTTTTGTACGACTTCTGTTAAAGCTTTTACAACTTCCATGAAATTATTAGTTTGCTCCTCTATCATTTTTTCGTGTTTATCTAATTTCTTATCAATCAGCTCGAGCTGGAGTTGATAATTTTTAATGATAGTTGATTCATTCATAATTGATTGTAAGTCAGAGGTTTTATTTGATTGAATTGATTGCGCTTGGTCTTGACCTCGTAATATATCAGAATAAGACTTTTTAATTTTGTCTTGTTTCTCAGTATTCTGAATTTTTTCCTCTTTTTTCGGTGGAAATTTTCTTTTTTGAATTTCGGTTCTGACCTTGCAGCCTAAAAAGTTTGCGGGGTGTTGACCTCCGCAGAGAGCACAATTTGGGGGTGGTGAACATGTTGGAATGCCTTCAATTGAGGGGGTTCTTATGGGACACACCTGTGCTTCGTGAAAGTCCCCACACCATATGCAACGTGGTGGACGAAAACATCCCCCTTTTGCATGCCCAAAAGACCAGCAGTTTTTACACTGAATGATCCTTCTTTGAAGTTTGGGTGGTTCAAAAGAAACTAGAAAATTTTTAATTTCCTTAATGGAGTCTAAACTTTTTTTGAAGTCAGAGAAGTTTGCCCATGGTTCGAAGTCGACGAAAAAGAGGGCTAGTTTACTTTTGTCTTTTAGTCTGCGTACTTGGCTTACATTCCTGATGATAATGTTTTCATTAGTTTCTAAACTATTTTTAATGTCACTTGTCTGAAAGTCTACTGGTAAACCCTTAATTACCATTCTGACAGCTTTAGCATTTCTTGGTTGAAATGTGTGGAAGGGAATCTTTTTCTCTTTGAATGAGTTGGTTAAATTTTTGTACTCATCAAACGAATTGACAACAATTTTTAGTTGTGTACGATTGATTGCTTTCATTTTTGCCGCTGGGGCAATTGAGTCAACTATGATTTCCCTAAATTTGGCTGAATCTTTGATTCGCGAGACAAAAATGGGAGGAGGAAGGGAGGGTTTTACAATTTTTTCACTGTTAACATTTGAGTCACTAAGTACACTAAATTTAGAATTATTAAGGTTCACTTTCACTGGAATTTTTTTTCCGGGATTGGAGTTTGTAGGTCTTTTCTTGGGATCCTTTTGTGGTGAATCCGTAGAGGAAAGGTGTTTTCTTTTGGGTGTGACTGTTGTCCATCCATCTTTGTCAGTGTGTGCGTTGTTCTTGTTTGTCACCTTCGTGTAGGGTAGAAAAATATCTCCGGAATTGGAAGTATCCATATCTGCGGGTGGAGAGGTGGAGCTTGAAATACCTATGTTGGTATTAACTTTAGAGAGATTTTTGGCTTTCTCACTTCCGAAAACTTGAAGATTTACACAGTCTGTGCACTTAGAGAGTTTTTTCTGGTGTACACAGACAAAATGAAGTTTTTGGTTTGACCATGAAGCAATCTTTATATCACAAAGGGTGCAAACCTCTGCAATATCGTTGTGTCGACAAATTAAAAAAGTACTTGGTCCTGGTGATTTGGAAGTCATCACAAATCACAAAACTGAGCAAAGCACGTTACTTATCAGCACCAGAGATCGGAGCGCTCGAGAGCAGACATCCGAGCTCGTTCACTTATCAGATGACACTGAAGTACATGAGTGCTAAATGAAGGCGGGAAGAATCAAACCTATACACGCAATATTTCTCAAAAGCTATATGCACCTCTTTTAAGAATGGGTTAGTTGCGCTGGTCTCAGAATCGTGCTTTGATGCTAGATCGTTGTAGATTACCTAAAAAGAACAAGATCCATCCGAACAGCAACTTTCTACATTCAATATTAACCGAGGTAAATGAAAAGTCAGGTTTTTGATGTCATCCACCGCAGAAGTGATACTCTTGGTTTCTTCCACCATGCTTTCATCCGAGTTTCACGTTGAGTAACGAGTGCAAATATGCGTCACACTGACTGATGATGGCAAGGTGAAAGAAACCAAGGGTGTCACTACTGCAGTAGATGACATCAAAAATCTGACTTTTCAAGGCGCGATATTTAGGTAACTATTGAAAGTAGAAAGTTGTTGTTTGGTCAGGTCTTATTATTGTTAGCTAAGCTATGAGAATCAAGCGTTAAAACAAGATTTTGTGACTAGCGCAACTGACCCAGTGGCCCAGAACAAGTTCTTTCTTCCCTCTGTTCAGAAACGTTAACCCTCTGTTGCATACATACACATATATGTAATTCAACGTATTTTATTTTTTTAAAAACTCTGTATGAGCGCAACAATGTTTCTGAATGCATATCTACGCAAGCCCAAGGTTGAATTCCATTGGATAAAAGTGTCAGGACCCACTCCAGTGTTACTAAATTAGGTTAAAAATCCTGTTTGTTTTGGCAACCTAGATCTGCGTAGGTCGGCTCTGGCGATGCATTTTCGGCGCAGGATTTAGGTTGCAGAGGTAATAAATTCTTGCTACAACGGTTTCCCCCCTCGCAAAAATAGGGAAAAAGAAGAGACGGTGGTTGGACCATATTTGTCCTCATGTTCTGAAAAATTAAGTGCCGCAATAAAACCATTTGGATTGTCGCTAGTAACAACAAATAAGTGTAATTTGAAAGGGTTTAAATCAGCTCTAAAAACCAAAATCCCAAACGAGAAAATGTCCGACGTGGTTTATGAAATCCCATGCAAAGGGTGCCCAGGGGTCTACATTGGGCAGACTTCACAGTATGTACATAAGCGCCTTGACGGACACAAGTTTAATAAGCATGAAAAAACGGCACTTAAGCAGCACGTAAAAGAAACAAACCATCAATTTGATTATGTTAACACCAGAGTGCTAAAACAAGAGAAAAATGAGCAGGTCCGTTTAAATTTAGAAGGGTTAAGCATTCTTAAAAATAGCAACGCCCTGAATTCAAGGACAGAATTTTCCCATTTTGAGGGTTATTTGGTAGGTACCGATACTTTCTAATTGTTGACCATCAAAGTTTATTAATAGCTGTAACTCAGGCAACAATGTTTGTAATGTTGGTTAGATTGTAACTATCTTTTCCTCTCTTCCCTGACCGTGTTGGATCGGAGGACTAGGTGTTTATTTCTTGTTTTTCCTTGTTTTGTCGCCTCAGTCTCTGCCTGATGATGGTGGGAATAATAAGCCACCGAAACGTCGCATTATAAAAAATTTTTTGTTTAAAATAAATAAAAAGTTACGGTTATACAACTCATGAAGTTCGCTTTTTATATATATATATATATATGAAGTCCAAATTGCGCATCTCAGGATAGGATAGGTCACACTTTTTTCACTCACAATTATATCATATCTAAAGAAAACCAACCCACCTGCCACTTCTGCAATTCATCACCTCTAACCATCAAACACATACTTATGGACTGCCCTTCCCTCCAACATCTCCAATCACAGATCTACTCCCCTACAATCAACAGAAATACAAACCCTCTTACATGCGATGAACCTAATATTGCCACCAAAATTCTGAAACTCTTCACCTCTCTTAATTTAAAAATCTAAATTTTCGTTTATACTCCTATTTTCGAAATTACCTGTAAAGACGTTAATAGCTTGAGTCGCTGAATGTCTCAAAATTATAATAACTAACTAATATATATATATATATATAAAATTAATAAATGGTTTTTACCTTTACAAATGCACGGTGCAGGAGCTATCCAGTCAAGATAATACTACTCAAATTTAAGTAAATTTATTACCATTTGAAAGTGAAGTACATGTTTCGCAGACGTTTCGATGTCCTACATACATATCGACGGTGTAAGTCGGCAATCACGTAACTCGGTTTGCGACGTCGCAGAATTCCTGACATACTTCATTTTTTAAATGGAAAACTACTCAACGGAAATTCTTTAAAACTGTCATGATTTTTCTTATTAATGCAAAGAAAATTCTGCAAAAACTTCAAGAAATAATGTCAATTTGTTCTCCTTTAGAAAAAGGACGTAGAGGCGGAGATTTTCAGACACCGCAAACGAGTTATGCGATTGCCGACTTTCACCGTCGATATACATGTAAGTAAAGGTGAATCTAACGTAGCCCAAAATAAATACACTGAAAAACACATCTGGGGAAAGAAGGCTTTTTACATTCAAAATTAAAAATTAAAACCGAGACGTTTCGTCCAAATTCTTGGACATTTTCAATCGATAATAAAAACAAAGGCTAAAATACAGTATATATCACGAATATCGGTAGATCTCCCCACCAAGCTAAAAATATAAATAAAAGCAGAACAACTAAATAAAACCTCCCAGAGTAAGACCAGAAAACGCCTTCAAACGACTCTGCAGCAACCACACACACGCGGGGCGATAACCCGATAACCGTCGGCAGACGGTATATCACGGAGATCGGTAGATCTCCCCGCCAAGCTAAAAATATAAATATAAGGAGAACAACTAAATAAAACCTCCCAGAGTAAGACCAGAAAACGCCTTCAAACGACTCTGCAGCAACCACACACTCGCGGGGCGATAACCCGATAACCGTCGGCAGACGGTATACTATACAGAAAATATTAGGAATCGCCGATTTTCGCTGCTTTTTAACTTTTATCACCCCGTAGCAAAAAAACTACTCAAGAGATCATGTTGAAATTTGGCATGATGATTCTTCAAGATTCAAAGGCCACATTTTTTGGGGTCTCATGTTTCAAAACTTATTATTAACGGAGATATGACGTTTTAAAGATTACAAAACGCTACCGTACTTCCTTCGTTTTCTAGAACTCCTGGCCTGGATATAGCTGCCGATTCTCACTGTTAGCGTGCTTTTTTTATCAAACCAAAACAAAAACACTTGAATAAACTCTTTCAGTGTCAATAAAAGAACAATTTGGGAATTTATTTGGAAGATATTAAAGTTTAGCGGCTTCTTTCATAAGTTCCCGGGTCGTAAGTTATTTCTGACGCTAGAGTTCTCATGCCATTACGGCACGGCGGCGGCCATATATTCGAGGTTTTGTTACTGTTATCACAGGTTTTCAGTGTCAATTGTCAATTATTGTCAAAAATCGTGTGAATTGTAATCGTTTTAAAGTTATTAATTCTTTTTCTCTGTAGTTCATATGTTTCTATATGTGATTTAGTCCTAAATAATTATAGTTCAAGCACTTGAAGCTACCACCGGACCCCAATCGTCTTTGAGGAAGCAGCTGATACAGACTATGCCGTGACTATGCCTTTGTTTTCTCTTACTTATTTTCATCATCATCATGTATGTACCTTTATACCATCATGAATTCTGAGTGGAAATTTTCGGAAGTGCGTGGTTTACCTATTCTCCGGAAAAAGTTGATGGTGTAGCCACATCCAAATAACATCCGCGTCTGGCCATGAAACCCCATGCTTTATTATTTCTTTCCTACTATCAACATGTGATTTATAGCAAAGGAATATCTCTTTCTCTCAGGTAACTTATCAAGCATCATTAACGATACCCTCACTTGATTGTGATTCGCCGAGTTGGCAGCTGGTTTTCACAAACACAGGTTCTATTGAGTCAATGTTAAGCACTCGACACTGTATTACTTAAACTGATTTGTGACTATGACGATGATATGGTTCTTCGTCTTCCAGATACTAAACATGATTTACTATTAGTTTTCAACGTGGCCTCTAAAATCATGAGCATTGTCTGCATTAAGTGTTTCGTATCGCTCATGAAAACCTGTCTTATTCTAGAAAGCGTTGCGTTGTAGAGCTCGCTGAGTGTATGTTTATATAAAGCTCTTGTATTGTTTTTGTCACAACTCGCCAATGTTGCCATCTGTTACCGTGTATTAACGTGCTATTAAGTGGTGCTGATTCAGAGCTGATCAGAAAATGACATTACTCTCAACATGCGATGAGCAAGCTCTAACAGCATCAGGCGCAGAACTGATTGCATAATCAAGGACTTTGTTATCATGATGCTTTTCTTTGGGTTGGTATGTTAAGTGCTTAAACTTCTTTGAAATCAAGATGTGCGTGGTTTGATCCCGGCCCTAAGTTATTAAAGTGAACCCAGAATCTGTACTTGCTGAGTCATATTCGCTAACCCCATCACGTCGCAGCAAAGGGACATGGTTTGAATGCTATTCTCATCAAGCGTCATATTCAAGAAATTACCGAGATCGCCAATTCTTGGCTGCCTTTTCAGAAAGCAATTTACCTTGTTGGGTTGTTACCTTGTTATTTTGTGTAGGTAGCTACGGGCTGTCTCATTCAAAAATCACGGTTCTACGCTGATTTGATATTCAAAAATTTGCGGAG